TGGGGTGCTTTCGCCGTTTATTCCCCAGTCCTGTTTGCTCACAAACGTTGCGTTCAACTGTCCCGTCCAGGTGGCATTGAGTTGTTTGCCGACTTTGCGTCCGCCGTTCCCTTTCTTTGGTTGTCTGCAGTCTCGGGCCATGTGGCCTGGCTTGTCGCAGTTAAAACAGAGTCGTTCCTTGAATTGTCTGTCTTTCTTAGGGTCACGGGGTCGTCCAGGTTTGAACGTGGCATCGAGTTCCATTGGGTCCGACCAACGGTTGTCTCGCGGGTGTTGATCCCGTCGTCTGCCCTCGTTTCCCCGGTAGGGGTAACTTTTCTTGGGCTTGTCATAGGTCCGACGTTCCTTCTGGAATTCGTATAGTCGATTGTCGATTCGGACCGTATGTTCGATTAGCGCTACCATGTCCGTTGGTTGTTGTTCCAAACGGGCAAGTTCCATACGTATATGGCTCTTCAGCCCACGTCGGTAGTGGCTGATGAGTGCGCTGGCATCCCATCCTGTCTGATTGCCGTATCTCTGGAATTCTGTGGAGTACGTGAGGGCGCTGCCAGTCTGCTTAAGTGCAAACAGATGGTCTTCCGCGGTCTTAATCTCATCGATGTCTCCAAACATGCGTCGGATTTCCTTACAGAATCCTTTCCAGCTGCCAAACATAGTCTGCGTAGTTGTCATGCTTCCATTGGTACTTTCATATTTGAAATAGTCCTTGAGGAATGGTTCGATCCATCGCAGGGCTTCCCCCCTAAGGTAGGACGCAGTCCACAGGGCATAGCTCTCCTGGGTGGGAAACTTCTCGTCATTGAAGTGCTGGTACAGTTCGACCTGTAGCAAAAACACCTCAAGTTCCTTTCGGTTGCCGGAGTAAGTGTCGGGCAACTTGACGCGTAGAGTTTCCTTGAGTTCGTTGACGGTGGGTGCATCGGGCATCTCTTCATTCTCAGGCTTAGACCTCTGAGACGAAGTTGGCGTGGTGGGGGTTTTCCCCTTCGAACTGACGACAGACATGTTGCTTTGTGTGTAAGCCGGTACCTCGTAGAAGTGGTGCTCAAAGTGTAACGCTGACTTCTAAACGATAGAAGACACAGAGGTTCTCTTGCGTAAAGGTTTACTTATCAGAGGAGGCAGGGGATCAGACACAAAGGCTTCAAGTAACACGTTACTAGTATATAACAAATACTGTATTGAGTTGAGCACGAAGCTCCTATCTAAGGAAATACTATCTACTTATATAGTGGCGTCGTGCCTAGTGGACTCTTGGGAACTCACTCGAGTCCTCGGAGTCCTGGACTCTTAGGACTCTTCTCATCATCCTGCGAGTCCATCACGTGCCTAGTGGACTCCTGGGAACTCACTCGAGTCCTCGGAGTCCTGGACTCTTAGGACTCTTCTCATCATCCTGCGAGTCCGTCACGTGATACTTTCGGAACTACTATTCCCCGCTGCCCCTCCAGGTACCAGGGCCGGTCTCATGCGACCTCCCTCCTTCCTGTCCTGTAGTTGGCCAGCCTTCTTGTTCCGTCGTAACAATTATGTCATAGACAAATTATGTCATAACTTAACCAATCTTGTGGGTAACTAAAGAGCGATGACATGTAATGAATCATAGAGGTTCGTAGGAGCTTTTAGAGCTATCGTTCATGCTCCTAGGCCTCTAGTTGGTAGAGATATGTCATGTGGTAGTATGAGTGATGTCATGTAATGAATCATAGAGGGTTGTAGAGATATGCTATGTGGTAATATCGGCCCAGTAACTAAGGAGCGATGACGTGTAATGAATCATAGATGGTTGTAGCAATCGTTGAGTAGTATTGCTCTTGTTGTTGGTGTGATAAGCCAAAATATGTATAGTGACTTGTAGGTTTGAGGAGGAGATTTCCAAGTTTGCTCTTGAGTTTGATAGCAAACTGAGTGCAACGAATGTCAGTATGACACTAGTCATCATCCTTGTCATTCTTGTCGTCCCTATATTGCCTTTGCCCTTCGCTACTACCATCCTCCTCATCTGCCGAACCCTAGTCAATACTATCCTTTAAGGTGCCTATTGATTGTTGTGCAATCTAGTCATTAATAAGTGGCATTTTCCTCTGCCGTCTATACATATCCTTAAATTTTAGCCAGGTAGGCTTAATGTTTTTATGCTGGTTCCTTAGATAGGCATCAAACCAATTAAGGAGCACCTGCCTAGGAACGCCGTTGCGAACACCATGATTCCTTTCAAAGTCAAGGTGTAGCTTTACCTTCACTGCTAATGAGATAAACCAGACTAAGTTAGTTAGCATGTATACCTGTATATATAATAGATACCGTACATTTAATCTAGAATGGCCTAGGAGCAATTGAGGCTGTCCGACACGTCGTCCTCCCCATGATGTTAGAATGAGATTTGCCATATCTTCCACACCAGCTATCTGAGGCACAAACCCCCTCGCATCTAAATCAAGTATATATCGAACAATGACTTCCTCATCTGTTTTAGTCAAATTGTGATTTGCTGGCCGGCGCTTGTGGATAGTAGAATGACCATTCATTCTGTCACTAAGCATAGAATGTGGCATATTGTAAAGTTTTGCAGCAGTGCGAAGAGTAATATTTTTGGATGATTGAATAGCTTCCATAGCTAAAATGATTCGTGCTTCTTGGGTTTGTACTGACATCATCAAATGTGAAGATAACGCATGTTGGAGTTGAAAGGTAGAAGGGTCACGAAAAGTGTCCGGGGTCATGATATGTCCAGGGTCATGATAAACCACGTTATACGCTTTATTAATAATCATGATTATAATTGATTTTCTAACCCTGTGTTAAATTCACCTCTATAGTATAATAGTAAAAAGATAATTATATTTCCCCATTCTATGTAGAGGTTTATAAAGGATATAAAATGTTTACTTCTATAGTAACAACTAAGTACTTATAAAACACATACCTATACATTTACAAATGAAACTCTAGATATATATAGATAATGAGTAAACGGACAGAAGGTAAATAAATGAAAAGCACGACAGAAAAGCATTCTGGAAAAGTAGAGGTAATGTGGTTTATTACTAAGTCAATCATATCACTTCCCTGCTACCTAACTACGTTAAAATACAATTAAACCACTACCACATATAATATTCATTAAAACTACTCAGAATCTAATGAACTAGACATATGTACACCTTTAGGATAAGTTGGTGCATAATGGCTAGTCTTTCTACAAGAATATAGTGTTGTGTAGTTAAATGCCCCTCATTTAACCAACCCTTCTAGAGCGCTTGTTACATTGAATCTGCCCATCTACCTCCTTCTAAGCTAAAATATCATGCACATCCTCTATAGTAAGTGCACCTCCTTAATGCACCTAAGTCTTTTTAGCCCTATGGCGTTTGCTAAGGGCTTCATTTGCCTTGCGAAGAGTTCAGACCTTAGAAGCTAAAAGAGTGTTCTTATAAGCTAATATCTCTGTACCTTTTGCTAATGTAGTGACTATCTTAAAAATAGGAGTTAGCGAGCTTCCTTAATGACATGTAATACAACTTTGAACTAAGGTTGATTGAGAAAGAGCGTCAATTAGGTTGCAAGATGTTTAAGAAACCTAAGGGTCATCATCTATAGAGGGGGGTCCTATAGGTGTCGGAGTCTGTAACTTGACATCTAGCTTTGAAATAATCACCTGTAGATTAAAGGGCACTAAACCAGGTCTACGGAATCTAGCTTTAGCATTCTAAGTTGTTATTAACTGGTTATAAGCTACGTAGAAAGCTCAAAAAAACTCAACCTTTGTAATATGAATTTTGTAGCAGAGCGACGGCTAAGTTTCTTGGATTTTTAAATAGCCTTAATAGCTAGGACGATGCGCGTTCTTGGGATTGACTCTCCATTGTTGGTTGTTTAGAAAACACGTTTTGAAGTTTGTAGGTAGTAAGGTGGGGAAAGTGATCGACTCGGTGATAAACCACGTTAAATGAAAAGCACGACAGAAAAGCATTACCAAAAAGCATCATAGGTAAATGAAAGGCATGACAGAAAATCATCATAGGTAAATGAACGCATGACAGAAAAGCATCACGAAAAAACATCACGAAAAAGCATCATGGAAAACATCATGGAAAACATCATGGAAAAACATCAGAGGTAAATGAACAGCATGGCAAGTATAGCATATATTAAGTAAACCAGCATTGCCTATACATTTGTAGATTTATGTATGACGAGTCAATGAGCATTGTCGAGCATTTGTATTTTTGCGAACAACAGATAAGCAGGCATTGCTCATGCATTTGCGCATTTACTGCCCAAACACACTTCTAGGATGGGATAGGGCGTGTAGATTTGCGTATAATAAATAAACGGGTATTGCCCATGTATTTGCGCATCTAGCCCACGTATTTGCGCATCTACTCAAACACGTTTCTAGAATGGGATCGGGGGTGTAGATTTGAGGATACACAGAGAGGAACTATGGGAATATAATAAGTTCTGAAAGTGACGCAGGGAAACGGATGAGAAATATAGCTAGACATATTAAAAATGACGTGTAAGAGAGACACGGAAGTTATAAGTTGTATAAGTTATATAAGGAATAACGAGAAGTATGTGTTGAGAAGTATATGTTAGTTGCAAAATCCAGGGGCCAAATTCGGCCTGAGCTACTCTATGCCAGCGCCGTTTTTTCAAATTTCCAAAGCCCCCCCCCTTTGGATGCCGAAAATACCACACAAACCTGGAATTCGCACGAGGGATAACATACTCTATTTAGATACACTTGCGATCAAGGCCATTCTAGTCAGTTAAACACCTACCTACTATAGCTAGCGATACTTTTAGAGGGGAAGAAGAGCAAAGACAGGGAGTGCATTTCGAACGTAAGTGCCTACATATCCCTGCCTATGTTGGCGGCTCGAATCCGATCCTAGCATGAACTTTTTGGGGTTCGAACTAGGCACCTTCTCGATAGGTCAGCCACATTATCTTGGTACATACACAATCGATGGGTTGTCTCATGACTCGAGGTTTATCTGTTTGCTTTTTAGGAATGCACATCAACAACCATTACCTGCTGCAAAGCCTACTTGATTCAAGTGAAGTTTAATATTTCAGCCATCAGTACTACAAGAGTAGTAACATTTACTGAATCTCTTTTCTGTTCCTCTCTCTCTCTCTCTGTTCTATTACTGGTCTGGCACTTGGCCGACTTCAGCCTTCGGAGCGGCGATACTTACCACCGACTGATAGACGCTTTTTACCTGGGCCTGGCGATATTTGTGGAGCCAACTCCAAGGCAAACTGGCTCTGAGTTTGGATGAGAGCCTCTGGGAAGAGGGAATCCACCAGTTTAAGACATTCTTTAGCTTTAGGCATCCGCGGTATAAGATCTTGCATAGCCTCACTATTCGCAACTACCCATAGGCACTCCATAGAACGGCGTCGATAGCTGAACCTTAGCTATCGTTGGGAGAGCACAACGCGGGCCATTTAGGACATTGTTGCACCGCGTCGACCATAAGCATGCCTGCCGCGGCCCCGAAATCGTCGCAATTGAAGCGCGCGCGGGTACTTATCTCACATGGCAATGAGTTGGCGGATTGCTTGCTAACTTTATACGTCAGGGAACTCCAAATGGGAGCCCGGATAACGAGGTCAAGAAGCCGCGCCGCTCCGAACGTCTCTCAGTGCCTGAGCAGAAGACGCCAGTTGCGAAGGGCCACCTTCCCTCCCCTATTAAGCATCAGGAATCGACGGACTCGAGCCAGGCATATAAGGAGGTGACAGCGACCCCGCCAGGAGGCCGTCCAAACCAGCTCCGTCACCGGACGCCCGGTCGCTCTCCGGAGTTGACGTCGGTGCTCTCCTCGCCGCCACAGGACACGCAGGCCTTCTCGCAGTACACGAACCCGAAAACTGCGTTGTCGGAATATGTGAAAGATGAGGAAAAAGAGGGCGTTTGGGGGTATCTTTTGCCTTTGAATGCAGAGTACAAGCAGCCCCTGATTATGCGCAAACGGTCGGCGTGCCAGAAACCGCCGGCACTTGATAAGCTGGGTGAAGCCAGTGATCAAGGGAATGCAAAGGATGAGAAGCCAGAGGCGCATTCGTCTGGTGGTTACTTAATTGGTCGCCATCCAGAATGCGGTAAGCAAGCGAGGCCGCTTTGGTTGAAGACACAGCTAATGGTTCAGATCTCCTCATTGAGGGCCCTATAGTCTCCAACAGGCATTGCTTGATATTCGAAGAAAACAAGGGCGACCAATCTATTGCTGTTTTAGAGGATTTGTCGAGCAACGGCACGTTTGTGAATGAGGCGCTTATTGGCAGAAACAAGAGGAGAGAGCTCAAGGATAACGATGAGATCACTATCCTCGACAAGGCCAGATTTCTCTTCAGATACCCACAGTACCGGGAAACAAGCGCTTTTCAGGAGCAGTATGAGATTATTGAAAAGCTGGGCAAGGGCCACTTCGCAGAAGTCTACTTGTGCGTGGAGAAGTCGACTGGCCATCGTTATGCTGTAAAGGTCTTCACGAAGAACCCTGACCTTGAGGAGAGATCCAAGACGGAAGGGTTACAGCAGGAGATTGCCGTGCTAATGGGTGTCTCTCATCCGAACTTGTTGTGCCTAAAGGCTACGTTTGACGAAAAGCATGCGGTTTATCTGGTGCTAGAATTGGCCATGGAAGGAGAGCTGTTCAACCTGATTATATTGAAGCAGAAGCTCTCAGAAGACGAAACGCGGAAGGTTTTCGTTCAGCTATTCGAGGGGATCAAGTACTTGGTAAGCTCCTGTTCGTTGTCCAATTTACGCTTTCCTTGCTGACACTATTTAGCACGAGAGGAACATTGTCCACCGCGACATCAAGCCAGAGAACATTCTCCTCAGCGACAAAGACCTCCACATCAAAATCGCCGACTTCGGTCTCGCTAAAATCATCGGTGAAGACTCCTTCACCACAACCCTTTGCGGCACCCCCAGCTACGTCGCGCCCGAAATCCTCGAAGATACCAAGAACCGCCGCTACTCGCGCGCCGTAGACATCTGGTCCCTCGGCGTCGTTCTGTACATCTGCTTGTGCGGCTTCCCCCCTTTCTCCGACGAGCTGTACACGCGCGAGGCGCCGTACACGCTACACGAGCAGATCAAGATGGGTCGTTTCGACTACCCATCCCCATACTGGGACCCAGTCAGCGACCTGGCGCTCGAGCTCATCGATAACATGCTCACGGTGGATGTGAAGAAGCGCTACACCATCGACGACTGCCTCGCCCACCCGTGGACGACGCAGCGCCTGATCAATCTGAATGATAGCACAGACGGCCTCGTGAGTGCCGTCGCGGGGCTTGACTTCTCGAAGCGCAAGGTCGCGCGTGAGCGGACGCTGTTGGCGAGTATCAATGATGTTATGGTGAGCAAGGTGGTGGGCACGCAGAAGAGCAAGGACGCTGTGAAGGTGTTTGTCAAGAACCCCGGTAGTGAGAATAAAGTCAACAAGTCTATTGCGAAGGCTGTTGGGGACGGGCCCGCTGAGGCGCGGCCGGCGGATAACAGGAAGCTGCAGGAGTTCATGGCTGTGGGGGGTATGGGAGACTCGCCGCTGTTTGCGGATGATGAGGATAGCCAGTATGCGACGAAGGGGTCTGCGGGGAAGAAGCGTTGATGGGTCAGCTGGGGGGGGGGTGTAGGAAAAGGGGGTTGGAGTTCTCGGGTATGTAAGATGCGATATACGCTGGTACGGGCTCGATGCATGGAAGCCCAGTTGGTTTTACAGGTGCCATATATAGCAGTATCACGGCGACCGGTTGCAGGTTGCTCGCCGTAGCTCCTCCTGGTGGCGTTGGCTTGGGATGGGGGAGAGGCCGGTGTGGGTGGGGATTATATAAGTGCTGTTGGGTTGGATGGGGTGGGATATATGGCGTTTGTTTGCAAAACATAAATATATGGAGAAATCATATGATACATACTGATCTAAACCATGATTGGCTTGCTTGAAAAATAAACTAAAGAAGTATGTTTAGTGAAGCTAGCTTTACTCTCAGAAACGCCCAAGTCAAAACCTTAAAATGGTCAGACCTTGGAATGATGAATGAGACGAGGATATGAGGGGAGGAGCGAGCGCAAGGGACGCCAACATTTATCTACTTTGCATTATACACAATCCCCCCTGCCTATTGCGCAACAACCTATTGCGCAACAACGTTAACACAGCAAGAGATACTTGGGGGTGCCTTTATCTCATGCCACAAACTCCACAGGAGCCTCGGAGTGCTCGGGAGACATGGATCGGTAGGAAGGTGAGATGACAATACGAGTGGCAGTGACAAGGAAAGGTGACAACGGCAGCGACAGGAGAAGTGGTTGCGGTAGGAAAATTAGCAACAACAGCGACAGGAAAAAAAGGGAAACGCTCGATTGTGCAATGTGCGGAGCTCTGCCCCGACATGTTCTTTCTGGATGCACCGTGCTTGGTGCCATCTTTTTCAATATAGATTAGACGCGGACCAGGTGGAATCCCGCAGAACAAACCTTGGGGCAAGGCGCCTAAGATTCTGTCGTTCGGCTGGATCGGAGTCGGGATGTAGAGGGGGCAATTATGGGCCTTATAACGTATCCAGTTGGTTCGCCATAATCGAATTAATGGGGTCGAGGGAAGATTCGACATTGATAAGATTGATAGACGTCAAATTGATCATCTTTTGCCACTGATCGGATGGAACGAACCACATCTCTCACTTAAGGGTAAACAATTGCTCCATCTTGATATCATTCATTACAGTGAGATTCTATTTACTTTTACAGCCTAGAGTGCCCTCGAGTTTCCCTCTAAACGCCTTGTTTGTATGCCACGCTTTACAAATCCAAAAAACCATAACCACCCCGCTATAGACAAGCGCCAGTGCCTCCCAATTCCACCCAATATATACTTACAGACCCTTCTATACAACCCCTATCCCACAATTACAAGTCGTTACCGTCCTCGCAACCCCCTAATGCTCGCTCGCCCCAGTAGAATGAAACGCCCATCCAACGATCTAGGCCACGCTGCCACTCATCGTCATAAACAGCGCCTGCAGCGCCAAACTAATACTCCAGATCCCCACCTTCTTGAACCTGCGCATGCGCGCCTGGCTATCCGTCACGTCCTTGGCAAACGCATCGTACGTCTCCGCCGACAAGTCTTCCATCAATCCGCAATCGTAGATCGTCCACGAGCCGTCAAACTCATGCGCCTTCTTGACGATGCGGCAGTTTATCGGGATGAACGTCTTGCGGGAGTTGATGTACGCGACGATAGGCCGGATGAGCGCCTGGTTGATGTAACTCAGATCGCGGGTGAAGAGCGGGACAGCGGCGCGCACATCGTTGAGGTGGACTTTCATGTCCATGATGAGGAAGCGCTTATCGTGATCGATTGCGTTTTGAGCCTCGAATGCGGCGCGCTGCTCGGGCGTGTCGAGGTCGGCGGTGTAGGGGTTGTTCTCGAGGAAGTAGCGGTAGCGGTTGGAGGTGACGGTTGCTTCGAGGCGGTCGTATAGGTCTGACATGACTTTGGCGATCGACTCGTCGCTGTCGGCGGGGAACATGATGTCGGCTACGATGTCGACGTTGCCTTCGTAGATCCAGCCGAAGAGGCCCTCGACGCCACGGTTCAGGTGGTCGATTTTTAGCCCGTCGATGCGCATGCGGCTGTGTTTCTTCCATACGTCTGGGTTGCCGTATTCCGAGTTGTGTCCTGGGCTGTGGCTTTGGTGAGGGTGGATGTTGAAGAGAGATCCATCGAAGGAGCCGGACATTTGGTTTGCGGAGAGGAAGTCATAGAACAGCCATTGTTTGCGCAGCTGGGGCAACTCGCAGGTATACACGCTGACAGAGTATGGTCGGAATCCTTTCGGTTGGTGTATTGTAAGCAGCAGATCTTCCATCTTGAAATTTTCAATCTCAAAGTCTCCAACCTGGTGCTCATGTTTATACAATCTGGGATCGACATATTCATCGGGCCAGACCACATGTGTTCTATCGAGAACTCCTCGCACCCCCTTAATCTCAACGTCCTTCAGTAAGCCTTTGCCATTCCACCACTTGGCAAAGGACAGTGTGACATTCACTGCGTCCAGAGTAACGTCGAATTGGGTGTAGTTCCCATCGTCTTCTAATTCCTCTGGCTCCGTAGAGCCATCTTGGTCTGCTTGTCGCTTTGCGGCAGCCGCAGCTGCAGCTGTTAGGGATGAACCCTTGCTAACTTTGCTCGGTCCCTGACCCGGCCGTCTGGAGACAAAGACGTTTGCGAATGATATTACGCCGTTCCTCCATTTTGGCACAACGGCGCTTTCGAAAACAACCTTCACGCCCGTTGACTGGGTCAAGTAATCACCAACCCATCGAGCAAGTGTTTCTAGATAACAAGTCAGCGCATTCCAATAGCCAGGCTGCTGGGTTCCAGGAAAATACCTTGAGCAACAACTGTATTAATAGCCAAAATGAGAAGTGAGACGAATGTAGTTGTTCCAACCAAGATCCACACAATGTGTCCCAGAACGAACCAGGAAACAAATGCGCTCCAATCATCTACATTCCAAGGCCGCGCGCTTCTAATTGAAAACCACTTGAACCGAATCTTCAACCTCGACCAGAAGCCCGTCGCTGCCGCCAGTAACTCCTCCTTCGTTGGACGATGCGGCATCTTGGGAAGGTGTGGGAGGTGGAAATATGAGTGGTTTGCATCTTCAGGAGTGCCGTCTGGCTTCGTGTGTGGCGCGGACGACTTGTTTGCAGTGTCTTCCTTATCGCCTTCCGGCTTCGTACTTTTTAGTCTTTTCGCAGTGTTCGGTGGTATTATCATAGTTTTCTCGCTCGCCCAGGCTTTGTCTGGTATCCTTGGAATTTGTTGGTGTATGTGTCTCCCCCATAGGTTCCCAGCCAAAAGTGATGTGTGCTTATGTCCGGCCTCCCTGGGTGTAAAAGCCAGCCTTCCTAACGCGCCTGCGCGTGCATTATCCGCCCCGTTGGGAACGGCATGGTTTCCAAGTACTCCTCGGGAGGAAATACTCTGTCGTCTTGCATGCTGTGTAGTCGCCGCTCGTGATACCGTCGGCCTGGAATAGGCATTTGTTGGGTGTGAAGATGCAAACCCCCTGATATGAGGATGCGATGATATCGGCACTGGCAGACGCGATTTTGCTGTGAGAAAAGGGATGGCCGATGCCCACAGCTGAGTCCGCAGCTTCGCATGCCCCATATTCGCTGCCATATCTCTCTAGCTCATCATTGTCGTAGCAGGAGAACTGCAGCTTGTCACCTTGTTGAAAGCATGGAAGCGGCGGTGTTTATATGAGTCTTGAACAGTAAATGTAAGTTAAGTTTCACCTCGAATATGCAGTTTGTAATGACGGAAACAAAGTTCATAAGCGCCAATCAGCAAGGCTCCTTGACTTCCGTACCCAGAAGTCACTCTCGCCCACCCGTACAGCGGCCCGTGCTGGAGAAAACACGCTAAACCTTTTTTGTGATGGGGGGGTTCATCCGATAAACTCGCAAAAAAGTCGAGATTAGATCTCTCATATTAAAACAAAACTGATCGACGACGACAACAACGAAGGGCTTGCGAAATTTTCACACAACCACGGCACCCTCTCTTCCATAAACCATTTACCATTTGCAGCCTTTGAGGTACAAACTCCACCATGTCCGCCCCAACTGCGCTGTTGCGCAACCCAGAAGAAATCGTATTGGCTCCTGAAGCCATCCCACTAATTGGTCAGTTCCTCTTCCTACGGCCCAAGACTTCAATACTGACTATATCCCAGAAGATGAAGAACTCATCCTCGACACCGAGATGGACGTCGGCGGCGTCTCGCTCATCGCCCCCCCAGCCAGGGACGAAATGACCATCGACGAAGAAGGCCGCCCACACTTCGCCCCCGCCCAAAACAGCGACGGCCCCGTGCGCATCGACTCGCGCAAAGTCCCGATCCCACCGCACCGTATGTCCCCCCTCAAGAACGAATGGCCCAAGATCTACCCGCCGCTTGTGGAGCACCTCAAGCTGCAGGTGCGCATGAACGTGCCGCGGAAGGCCGTCGAGCTGCGCACGTCCAAGTTCACTACCGATACGGGGGCGCTGCAGAAGGGCGAGGATTTTGTGAAGGCGTTCACGCTGGGCTTTGATACCGATGATGCTATTGCCCTGCTGCGGTTGGACGATTTGTATATTGAGACGTTTGAGATTAAGGATGTGAAGACGCTGCAGGGTGAGCATTTGGGCCGTGCGATCGGTCGTATTGCGGGCAAGGACGGGAAGACAAAGTTTGCAATCGAGAATGCGTCAAAGACGAGAGTGGTGTTGGCGGATAGCAAGATCCATATTCTGGGTGGATTCAAGAATATCAGGATTGCAAGAGAGGCGATAGTGAGCTTGATCTTGGGTTCGCCGCCTGGAAAGGTGTACGGGAACTTGAGGAAGGTTGCCTCGAGGATGAAGGAGAGGTTCTAAGGGACTGATTGTGGGGTGGAAGGGGTGGGGGAAGCACGTTGCATAGAGAGGCGTTTGGAGTCAGATACAGTTTATGAAAAGGTGTGACGTTGTCGGGCGTTGAGCAAAACGATATGAAACTTTCAACGGTATATAGTCAATGAACACTATAATGAAAAATAAAATCATTGTATGATAACGCTTTATGTGCTAGTAGATATGTTATGCACCACCCCCAAATACCATCTACGGAACCTATGTGCCACAAAAAAGTCCCCCAAACACCCCCAGACAACTCCAGACGTTTCCGCAACCTGCTTACTTCCGTCCCCGATCAATGCTAACATCCAAACTCCAGAGACTATCCCAAATCACGCTTTTCTTCCCAGGGCTGGTCCCTGTGCTTGTGGTCGCCTAATACACAACACGTACCGTCAGCTTCACGGCCCAAGGGGACGGTCCAAGACCGCCGGAGTAGTATCAGAGTCGCGCACCTCTAGCCCGCTCGAGCCGCCTGCCTGCAACTGCGGCGGGTGGTTCGGCCTGGGGGTTATTTCCGTCGCTGACGAGGGGTGCAGGGAGTCTTCGCCTTCGACGGCGGCGGCGCTGTCGGGCTGCTTAACGGGCGTAGACGCGAAGGGTGCTGCTTTGCGGGAGTTATTGCTGCTACGGCGGCTGTCGAGGCTGCGGCTGAGCGTCTTGCTGATGTTGTCTACCGCGCTCCCTGAAATCTTCTTCGAGTGCCGGATACTCCCCGTCGCATCCACATTCGCTGCAGCGACGGTGCTCTTCCCGAGACTTAGCGTCAGGGGCGGCGCGCCTGGCTTCTCCTCCACGGCGTCAATTAGGTACCATCGCAGCCCGTCGGATAGGTCAAATGGATTGTCATCTTCGAAACTATCGTCTACGCTCACATCGCCGAAAGACCCGTTATCGCCAGCCGTCGACAGCTGCCCAGTCATCGACTTTGAAAGATCCACCACACGGCTCTCGACGCGTTGGATACGGGCGAGCAGCCAGTCGCGCGAGCGCAGCTTATGCGTGTCCTGCTCGCGCAGGAAGTAGTGCGGGGCGCCGACATTGAAGGCGGCCCATGCGCCATTAGCCTGGTTGCGCGTGGGCAAGAAGAGGGCGAGGTCGCCGTCTTTAAAATGCCGATAGGCGATCTTCTCGTGGGCCTCCTTCTGCGCGGCGTGCGACTTGTCGCGGTAGGTTCGCGCATCACGTGTAGCTTTGCGAGCTTGATGCTCGGTTTCTTTGATGCGCTTCAGGATGGTGTCGCAGAAGACTTCGATATCGAGGCTACCCATGGCGGAAAGGTAGGCTTCGTATTTTTCACCCTCGACCTCAGAGTCATCGTTATTCATCCAGTAGAGGAGCTCAAGATCACCGCTGTCTATCATAGGTTTCTTCGCTTGGCCGGATATGCTGCGTCGCATGGCTGAGCTAGGGTCGGAAGAGTCGGTGAGGTTGGCTCGCTCTTGCCGCGGGATGCGGGTGATTGTCATAGAATCAGCTTCTCTTGTCACGGAATAACTGAGCCGGTCGAGCAGTCTCCATATACGGTCGTTCTGAGCGTAGAGGCGCTGAGTAAGATCCTTCGTGCGCATGGTGCGCCCTTCGAACCTGCCATTGACCTTCTCGAGCTTAGCTTGAGATTCTTGAAGTCGGCCTTCAACAGATTTAAGCTGCTCCTGGAGACTCCCAACCTGGGTCTTCGAGCTAGTTAGCTTCGCTATTAATGAGGTAACTTTTTGTTCCTCTTCCTTGATCCTGCTTCGCAGCACTTCTGTCTCACCCTCAGCGAACTTGGTTCGGAGGCTGGTGAGCTCCTGTTGATGTTCCGCCATGTTAGATTCCAGAGCGGCATATTTCGCTCTCTCACCAACAATCTCCTCCTGTAGTCTAACACTTTCCGATTCATCGGAACTCAATTTGTCCTTAATATCTGCCAATTCCTTCTTGACTTCTGATAACTTTTCTTGGGCCTCGTCTCGATCGGCATGTGCCAAAGCAAGGTCTCTCTCGTGCACACCTGCGTGAGTGATAAGGTCTTTAATACGGGACAAAAGATTTTCGGCTAGCACTGTTGATTGAGCTTGAGCTTGTTCATCAGAGGCGGGAAATAGAACGGAATGCACGCCACGAAGCGATGCGGTCGCTTCTCGTCGGCCATCCTCTGCGGAATCAAGGCGATCTTTGAGTTCCTTATTCTCTTCCCTTGCTTTATTCAGTTGCTTCTGCAGACTATCATTTGACTCTCTTTGAAGCTGGGCATCGCCCCGAAGAAAGTCAACCTGTCCTTGGGCTTTCTGAGATTCAGCTTCGGCATCAGCTTGGACCTTGTTAAGCTCGGTGCGCAGGGTGTGCAGTTGCTCATCCAAAGTCAGCCTCTCATTCTCCCGGGACCGGTCTATGCTGTCCTCGTAATCCTCCAGCTGACTCTTGAGGCGCCTATTATCGTCCTCCAGGGATTTCCGCTCGGTGCCGAACTCCCGCAGTTGCGCTTCTAGGTTCTGCATAAGATCATGTTTAGTCGAGGTAGCTTCCTCAAACTGAGTTCTGAGGTGTGTTAACATCGCCGACTTTGCGGCGGCCTCTTTTTCGAGACCAGCTGCTCGCTCACGTTCGGCGATGAGATCGGCCTCAAGGTGTATATACCTCTGTGTAGCAGCCCTGTCATCCTGGGTCTTGTTCGCCGAATAGCGCCGCGACGAGACAGACGAAGGTCTGTAAATCTCGTCACGGAACTGAGGAGATGAAGCCATGTTACCTGGATCATGTTCATCTGAAGGCAGAGGAAATATGTTTGCGGAAGATGTCCTCGAGGCATGACTCTGTTGGTGCAACAGGCTTTCGAGCTTCCTCACTCTGCTTTCCGCACCTTTAAGCTTAGTCTCTGTCTTAGCCTTCTCGCTTTGCAAAGTTCTGATGATATCATCGTTTCCGCGGACAAGCAAGGTGCTGCGGCCCATAGATGCCTCATGGAAACTTCCATTTTTGAACGCTTTTGCACGTCTAGCCTGTTGCTTCGTGGGAGTGCTCAAATCTGTAACAATCTGAGATACTTCGGCGATAATATCAGGATGCACATTCGCGGAATTTAGTTTGTTAATCAAATCCTCGAGGTCCTGCCTCGACACTAGAGGGAGCTGATCCTCCTCTCCGAGAAGATTAACCTCGAGGCCCAGGACTTTACGTTCAGGCTTCTCAGCCCAGAAATAGAAGCCCGTATTCTTCTGCCACTTCTTGCGTCTTCGTCCTTCCTCGTCCTGAAACGAGGCCATTTCATTTCCAAGGGTAGACGAGTCACTCTTCATCTTGTCAGACCATTCGCGGCGGCAGATAGCTTCGGCCACGAATGAAGCATAGACAATAGGAAGTCGTGCAACAAGTAGTATGAGTTCCAATGACTTCTGCCCATCATCCGAAATCTCTAGGCCATCAGTCCTCCGGTTCATCTCAGTGCACAACGTATTAAGAGTAGCAATGCCCTGCATGGTCTCCACAGCTTCGACAGCAGCACTGTTGCGCATGTTGGTTGCATCAGCTAGGACCTCACTCATCTCCATGCACCTCTTCGAAAGGCTTGGCAAGAAGCTTCTGGTATGGAGCAGGGCAGTTTTGGAGGCCTGAGATATCGATTTCGGTGTATCGGCGTAAGCTAACAGATTTTCGTAATCCTTCCCGATCTTATTTAAAATGGCTTTGATGTCCGCCAGGAGACCCGCTGGCTCCTCGCTTTTCGCCATGGCAGATGCCCCAACGCTGTCCTTTTCCTTCTTCGTAATCTTATCCATGCCAGAGTCAATCCTCTTAAGGTTGCGTGTCATATCATCCAGGTTCGTCCTTAACGCTGCTATAACATCACTGGCTTCAGCTCCTGCTTGCTGGATATCGTTTATATCGATCAAGTCCGCCAGGCTCGGCTGATGGTTCCCACCCTTCGGATTCTTTCCGCTAATAAATCGGAACATTGTCGTCGTTACCGGCAACGTCCTCAAGAGCTTCGCCGACTGCTCTAGCTCTGAAATCCTAATGCCGTATTCGTCTACGATATCCTGCGCCCATTTTTGTGTCTGCGGGAATTTTTGCTCCAGCCCCGCGACATGCCCCCCCAGGTTGACAACGGCGGCATAGACAGAGCGCGCAATCACGTCTATCTCACCAAACCGCTTCTGTGCCTCCCTTGATATGCGTTCACTATCGTTGACGACCTTGGATGCCCATTCTCTCCGCGCGTGGAAGAGGTCTTTCCATGCGCCCAGGTCATTTTGGTCTGCTATCGTATCGGGAGGGTTTTCGATTTCGTATGTAGCGGGCATCGGTAGCTGCGAGACCTGTTCCATGGCCGAGTTCGAAGAGGAGACATTGAGAATCAGGCGATTATATACGAATATTTCGTGCTGTAGTTGGACCAGTGTCAGCGCTTGTATCTATGTAAATGATACGCCCGTTCTCAAAAAGGAGCTGCTATTCGGTCGAACAGCAACGGCGCCTATGGTAAAAAACGTATGAGGCCATCGCGGCGCCATGCCCAGCCACACAACCATAGCTTCCAGGGTCTCCCGTCCCCCAACACATCAACATACCTCAGTAAACAACGACTGCGTCCTCGCCGACTTCCCACTTCCCGTCAAGCATATCTGATTCTGCACACTCACGCCCCCCTTATCCGCGACCCACGCCTTGAACCCATCCAACCTGCCATCACGTTAGCACACTGCACCCCATCCCGGGACCTCCAAGGTAGCGCTCACGATGCGAAGGCGCCAGGCTCGGTCTGCAGGCGCGCGCCCGTATGCGCGATGTAGACTTGCAGCGCCATATCGCTGGGCTCCGTCTACAGCTTCGGAAGGTAACATGAAGAGAGGAGGAGTTCGGAGGTGGACGTCGCGAGAAGGAAGAGGTCGCGCGGGCTGGACGGAGGTAGCAATAAGTGAGTGACCTGGGAGGACGGAGCTAAGGCATGGAGGGTCAGTCCCACCCGTCACCTTGTAAGTTACCCCGTCACACGCCGCCACAGGCACATTTATCCCGCGCCGCGATTGCGCTAAAGGGCGTCAGCCACTGTGGCCGTGTTTGTTTATGCTGGAGTTACTGGGATGCATAAGAGTCGATATCCGTCATTTCTACGCCTATACTGACTGATAAAGACTCATATTTCACATTGACTGCCATATTCACAGCCACATACACATCTTTCACAAAGAATTGCAGCATCAAAAATAAATAAATGTCTACGCCAGACATCGACGCCGCCGCCGCGAGCGGAATCGCTGGTCTAGAAATCACGAACCCTGACGTCCCAAAAGACAGCTTCACTGAGCTGCAACTCTCCGAACTCGAGCGACAAATCCTCGACCTCTACGACCGTCTCGAAGAGCTCCAGCTCGAGATCGGCCTACTCAGCGCCCCAGAAGCCACGCAGGATGGTAAGTCGAACCCCCTCGCTACGATGCACGTGATCTAACACCCCATAGCATCTGCCGAGGAAGTCACCGATGAAGACCTCCAAGCCGAGCAGAAGGCGCTGTTAGAAGCTAAAGCGCGGTATTCGTTGAAGAAGAGTATCGCCGAGGGTATCCTGGTGGCGAATCCGATACTGAATGCTGTGCATGCTGGGTCGAATGCTAGTCCGATAGAACGGTTTGCTTGCCCGCGGCTCCCATATGTAACTGCCAAACTGACTGACCCCGCAGGGACCTCCTCCCGTTGGTTCAGCAGCGCGACGACGTATCTACGGAACTTGCAGCCACAGCGGCGCAGGTGCTCGCTGCCAGAGAAGCACTCACAGCCGTCGAGGCGGAGCAAGTGGTGCTGGCGCGGAGTAACACGGAGTTGGCGGGCAGGATGGTGGGGCTTGCGGAGCAGGTGGAAGGGCAGAAGAAGGGGGATATCACGGATCCAGAGATGAGGGGGAAGATTGAGGAGATGGAGCGGGAGGTGAGGAGGAGTCGGCAGAGGTGGAGGTTGATGAAGGGGGTTGCGAGTGGGGTTGTGGCGGGGAGTGGGGTGGACTGGGCGAGGGATGAGAAGTTGAGGGCGTTGGTGCTAGATGATGATAGCGATGACGAGTAGAGGGTGGGTTGTTACAGGGTACTGGGTCACTGTATATCATTGTTAATTTAAGAGGCGACGAGTTGTGGGATGAGCTCCATGTACTTGTGCCGCTGTATAGCTCACGATTTTACCAGCATTTTAAAATCATGGAATTTTATCTCTTGAATTCCATTTGGAGTAACTGTGTATTTACACGTCACTGGATCTATGTATATCATAGTGGACACTGTTATGTGAAATGAGCTCTATGCATTCCGAGAGTCATGCCAAACATGCGAGGATCTGTACTCCAACACAACAAAAACCGGGTATCATGACGCCGTAAATGCTCAAACACGCCCCCCAAGATATATCCCGCCCCGCAACCCGCTCAATTACCACAGAAACTTCCTGCACTCCGGCGCACCGCACAAGCACTCAGTCATATCCTTATGGTGCTTCTGAACCTTGCCATCCTCGGCCAAATCCCCCTCCAGCCCATCCACATAGTCAAAGGTCAGTTCTTCTCCAGCCGGAATATCATGGATTGCAAAGAAAGCCAAGTCATGGATGTGTTTATCAGCGTGATCGCCCACGCGCGCAAAGATTCGCAGATTGGGATCGCAGGAGTGGTTGATGAAACGGGTTGGCCCAGCCATGAACTCGCCGTCGACCTCCAAGCAGGGTCCTGAGAGACGCTCATCGATCGAGTCGGGGTCGGAGAACTTGTCGAGTGCAAACAGATAGATGTCCTTGCGCTGGGCGACACGACTATCCTCCCGGCGACGCTGCGCTTCTGCGCTCGTGATGATCTCGCCCACGTATTTATCGACGAATTGCCCCTCCTTGATAGTTACGCTTGATCGTACTCCTGGTTAGGTTAGAATTTGTGCAGATTCGGAGGTGGGTGAGAAAGACACTTACCCCAACCACGGCCATCAGATGTCCGAAAAATCTCCAACGGCACCTTCCTCCCTTGCTCGACAATGCGGTTGATGCAATTTTTTGAGCAAGCGCAAGACTCGTGGCACTCATAAAGCACCAATCTGCTGTCGAGTATATCCTTCCGCAAACAGCCGGCCTTTGGCCCTTTCGACAGATATGCGTTCGCTTTTTTTGGTTGCCCCAGTTTGTTTGTCTTTGCCTCCATATCCTGAATGCAATAGCAGCCCCGGAACTCGCAATCCCCATCTTCCACGCATTCACACCCCATCCTAAACCCCGCGTCCGCACGTGCAACACCTTCGCGCAAGATTGAGTGCTCGATAAAGTGGAATCCCTCTGGAAACCTGGCGTTGTCCACGTTGTTGGTTACGGTGACGGGGTAATCCGAGTGCGTGGTGAAGCTGGCGAGCTCACACCAATTACAGCCACCCTTTTCCTTCTCCAAGCTCTTTGTGTCGTACAAGAAAACAACCTCATCGCTTTCATCTTGATTTTGGACCTTGGCGATGCTCGGGTGCCTGGAGATGTGACGTTTTGTATTCAGGACACTTAGGTCGAGCTCATGGGCGGGCTGGATCGCAATGAGTTAATATTGGCTTCAAATGTAAAATTTAAGTCAGATCACATACATTCGTCGTCCCATGGTACAGACGGTGTCTTTCCCTCATGTCGTCAACTGGCATCTTCGTTGGGTGCTTCTGGTGGTGTTGACGGTCGCGATCGTCGCGAGGCTGAGGTCGAGTCTTGGAATTTGAAAGTTGTAGGTGGGAGGTTGACAACAAGGCGGAGAGGGCCCGTGCACGGGCCACCATGCCTCGGTTGACCCCGATCATGGATTTGGGTGCTCGCTTGACCTTGACCATACTACTGAGTGATAAATATATTTATAAGGAGATATATATTAAGACAGGCGATGAAGAGTAAATTGAATAAATGCCATGGCTGCAATTTTTGGGGAGGAAGGTCGGCCATTTAATAGTAGATTTCGAAGAAGAGGTTCTGTTAGAGGGTGTAGCTTCATTGTCACCACCGGCTCTTTGTCAGGACCAGAGACTGCTTTCGGCGAGATAGACAAAGACATAATTCCTAATATTCGAGAGTTAAATATATCCGGAGGCTGATCTCGCTCCCTTTTATAGCTTTTATGCTCTGCAAATAGCTTGGTCAGTAGTTGAAGACGTCAGTGTTGGCATTTTATAATTTTCATTTACCGAATAATTAATAATAAAAAAATATAGTAAACCCAAATTCAGTTCATCCTGATTACTATAATAATATCACCTTCATCTCTCCCCAAATAAATAAATCATATAAATCATATAAATCAAATAAATAACATCATCACATCCTCACCCCTCCGCCAAGCCCAATCGACCGTACGCTACTGCACGCCACTCCCGCACATAGCGCCCCGCGCCTAGCGCCCCCGCGCCAAATTCTCCTCCAAAATTTATTTATCGCCGACACCTCAAAAACCCGTCCCCCGCCTTAGCGCCTGTTGTAGCCGCGACAGAAGCCAGAACCCCCTCGCTCTTACAATCCTAGCTCCTCGACACCGTGACGAGCTGTAGACGATTCGAGAATATTCGTCCCCTCAAAAACTAGACGCATACGACGTCGATCTTTCTACCTCCCAGACAAAAAGAGAGATAAGAAAGTCTCTCCAAACCGCAAATATGACGGACTCAACCTCAACCCCCGACCTCTCCCAAACCCCCTTCGTCAAACAACTCGCCTCTCCAGGTAATTCTCCCTCCTCCCCATCCATCTCCCCATCCATCTCCCCATCCATCTCCCCATCCATCTCCCCATCCATCTCCCCATCCACCTCCCCATCCACCTCCAGAAACACCCCACTAACCCCCCCTAGACCGCCAAACCCGCACCAACGCCCTCGACTCCCTCCGCACCTACCTCTCCGGCCGCCGCGCCCTCCCCCAAGACGCTCTCCTCAAGCTCCACACCGCGCTCTTCTACACAATGTGGCTCACCGACCGCCCACTCCCCCAGCAATCCCTCGCCGCCTCCCTCGCCGCCCTCCCTGCCATCACGCACACGAGCAATCGCACCGCGTTCACAGCCGCGTTCTGGACGACTATGGCGAGGGAGTGGACGAGGATTGATGTGTTAAGGATGGAGAAGTTTCTATTGCTCACACGTCGGTATGTTGGGGCTGCGTTTGCGCAGTGTGCGGATGCGGGGTGGAAGGCGGAGGTGGTGGAGGAGCAGATGAGGGTGCTAAGGGAGGGGCCGCTAGAGCCGACGGCGAGGGGGGTGCCGAATGGGATGAGGTATCATGTTATTGATGTTTGGGTTGATGAGTTGGAGCGGGCGGGGGGGTTGGGGGAGAAGAGGAAGGGGGTCGAGCTTGAGGTGTTGTTGGACCCAGTGCAGGTGTTGGGGAAGGAGAGCCCGACGAAGAGTGTGAGGAAGAAGTGTAAGGAGGCGCTGGCCGATGAGAGGTTGCCGGGGAATGAGAAGGAGGATGTGGTGATGGAGGAGGATGAGGGATGGGGGGGTTTTGCGGAGTGAACAAAAAGTGATGTACGTGCTTGAGCAGGAGATAGAGGAGGATGAGGGATGGGGGGGTTTTGCGAGTGAACAAAAAGTGATGTACGTGCTTGAGCAGGAGATGGGAGGAATGCAGTAGACTGTGGAGTGCATGGGAGGGACAGCGGCGTCTGGTGTTGGCAAGAGGTGACGATTAATGCATTCTGTACAATCTACACAAGTCTATTATACAAGCGTCCTCGACTATGGCAACTCCTGGGTATATCATGCCATGACGCGACGCAAACTGACCTCCAAACGCTATCCTATCCATCATCCCTTATCCCATACCCCCCTGTAAGACAACCTCCAACTATGGACCCTGCGCTTCGTACTTCCACCTCGAGCAACTCAACACAGTCCCCAACCCCCGATGAATCTCCGCCTGAAACGGCTCGAACGGCACCCTCTCTCCGTCGATGCTGATGTATCCCGACTCCTGCTCGCGAGGCATGATGCGGTATCCCAGCACCTTGCGGTAGCTGACGAGCGGCTTGTCGAAGAACTTGTTATTCTCGACGGCGAGCATGAGGTCAACCGCGGCGGTGCGCGCGATACGGCCATCGATGCAGACCAAATCCATGAGGCCGTCGTTGGGAAGGGTGGCGGGGAAGAAGTTTGTGTCGGCGGCCATGTAGGACATCTACTTATGTTAATAACTTGCTTTTAACAAAAATGGGAATGGTGGGAGGCATCTTACATTACCGCAGTAGAAATTGCCCATCGTGTCATAGGGAATGTTCACCCAGTCCGATGGCAACTTATCATTGACTGTCCCGTACCTCAGCGTCGGCAACCCCTCATCACCCGCCGCGCTCGTGCTCGCCGCCGAATCATCATCATTCTCATCCTTGTTCCCGCGCCTCTCACCTAGTGTACCCCTCTTCTCACACTCTTGGCGATAATGCTCCCTAATCGCGGCCTTATCCTCAATCGCCACCTTGACGGCCAAATCACACGGGTATATTCTCTTCTTTAGCAGTCGGGTTAGGAAGCCGTAGGTGAAGCGCGCCTGCCCCATCCAGCGGATATTCTCAGTCGCTAGATCGGACTCGGCCACGATGCCAACTGACTGCGACAGGAAGGACAGCGTGCGCGTCGACCCTTGCGTGATGGAGATGAGATCCAGTGGCGTCACGACACCCTTGACCGTCGCCAGCGCTGCGAGACTGGGACTTGAGCTGCCCGTCAGGTTGCAGCTCATCGCATTACCGCTACCGCAAGGCATCTGCACGACCGCAATTTTGGCAAGCGCACGCCGAGCATCAGGGCGCTTTCCCAGCCCATTGAAAACCTCATGCGGTAGTCCATCCCCCGAGCACGAGACCACCATATCGTACGCCTCAATATCCAATTTTTCTGCAATCGTGACCGCCTCCCCCTGGCTCGAGGTGGTGTGTACATCGAGCTCGATGCGTGCAGCGCGGAGAATCGGTTCAATGTCCCTGATCCACCATTTCACAGCGCTGCCCTTCCCGGCATGTGGGTTGAGGAGGACCTTCGCGCGCTTGCGCTTCTGCGACTCGCCGTACGCGCGGTCGAGGAGCTTCGCGATCCAGATGCGTGCGGGTCCCGGGTCGAGGGGGAGGGGGTAGGTGAGTAATTCTGGGCGGACGGCAGTTTTGGAGATGGGGGCGGCGAAGGAGATTGTGAGGAGGGTGTCGGAGGTTTCGGCCCAGAGGACGTTGTCGAAGGGGATGGCGCGGGTGTTTGAGCTTCCTGTTTGCACCGTCAGTTCTGTTGTTGGATTGCGGTGTCTCGCTGGTGCTGTGACGAGTGCGCGCAGCGGGGGTGCGTACCGGGCCTGCACAGCGCGCAGCACGACGTCTTTCCGTCCTTTTGAAAATCGTCATCTAGGCGCAAAGCAGCCCGTTAGTTTGGCTTCATGTATCGTGTCTGTGCTGCCCAATGCTGGGCTGTCGGGCGCAGGGGCGCGGGGAGAGGGGAAGAGGAGTGCTCACCAAGTACAATCAGCGACTCGGTGCCGAGGGTCAGGCTGGCATCCTTGCCTACCGCGAGGGTGGTGTCACGCGCGAAGTCGATGTCTCCATCGCCAGAGGCGTCGGGGGCAGCGGGGTCCATGAAGGGGTCGCTAGAGGCCGGGGTGGGCGATGCGGGTGTTGCGTGGTCAGTCATTACTTATAGCGAGTGTGGTGGTTTAAGCATGCTGTATATATGCCTTTCGTTTTGGTTTCTTGCTTGAGAATAAGTAGGAGGGGAGAGAGAGGAAGGCAGAGAGAAGGAGGAGAGAAGGAGGAGAAGGAGAGAGGACAAAGACAGTGAGTATAAGAGAGGTAGGTAGTAATACCGGTAATGGTGGTCGTTACCCAGGCTACCTTACTAAGGAAGGTTGTAGTTGTAGTGTGTAGTAGTGGTTTAGTAGTTGGACTACGGGCCGGCCGGAACAGTAACGCCGAGGAGGTTGGTCTGGGTTCCTGTCCAGTGAATTTCCCCCCGAATAAACACACAGACATTGTCGAATCCTTTTCATTTATCAATTCTTTACTATTGCAAATGCCCATGTCTCCAAATAAAAAAACGCCTTATGCTTCTTTTCTTGCGCCTCCTCTCTTCGCAAAACACGGCGTGGCTCGCATTATATACCCATGTAACGCTTCTAGCACTACATCCCCCCCTTCTTCCATCACAATCATAAAGCCCCACAGCATACCTAGACATGACACAGCCCCCATAATTCATCGATTTTGCAGCCGGCTCACCCCACCGGACGAGGCATAAGTGACGGTGCTCTAGTGTGTTCCGTAACCCAACCCCCTCTTTTTCAACTATCTGGCAGCTGGCCCTGCTCAAGCCACCTCTCCGACCTTGTTGAGGCCCTTCAGCGAGCCTAGGCTTAGCGCTAGGCCTTGTGAGCGACTGCGGATGCGCACGAAACCTGTGACGGGGCCGTCGTCACCCTCCTTCTCGATACTTAAGTTTGCTAGTGCGTCCTCGCCTGTGATATGTTAGTGAACATTCTGTATACCTGGCAAGAGTGAAGAAGGGCAGAAGAGGGAAAGAAAGAAGGGTAAAAAACGTACCAAACACACTACGCGCGTACAGATTCGCACTCAAGAACTGGCAGTCGCCCTTTAGCGAAGCCTCCGGGGTCAGACACGTCATATTTGTGCACGCCATAAGCTGTGTCAAGAACTCCCTCAGCGACTTCGCCTTGGAGTTGATGTTGACCTTGTTCTCCCACTCAAACTCGGTCCACATGGTGCGGAACTGCGTCTCGGTGCAGGTGGCCGGCTGGATGTAGTCCATAATGTCGACGTGGACGTCGTTGAGGATGACGACGTTGTTGTCGGTGGAGCTCTGGCCGTCGTAAACCACGTTGCCGAAGATGACGCCGGTGTCGGTGGATGAGACCTTGATGGTGCACTGGACGTTCTGGAAGTCGTGGGGGCCGAGGTTCTGCGTCGTCGGGCGCTCAACGACCTTGAGGTCACCGAGGGTGGCGAACTCGACGGACAGGTTTTGCAGAGTCTCGGTGGTCTGGTTGACTAGCAGGACATCGAGGACGATATCGAATTGGTGGACCTTGACGTATGCCTCGGCATAGACGGGATCCGAGAAACCAGTGAGCTGGACGACGCGGCTGAGTTTCGACGAGAGATCTTCAGTTGCAGTGTCACCTCCCGTGGCCTTCTCGAGATCGAGCTCAATCTCATTAGCGCCATCGCTGGCATTCTTCTTAGCGAGCTGGCGGATCTGAACGACGTCGTCAACCTGGACCGTAGTCTTGGCCTTCTCCACCGCCTCCTTCGCCGCGCGCTTCTTCTCCTCAACCTGGACCATAGCCCTGAAGGCCTTTCGGGTGTCTTCAAGGAACACAGTCTCGAGCTCCTTCTTCTGTGCGAATTCCGCCAGCGATCGCACGCAAGACATGATCCTGTCCACCGAGTCCTCGTCAATAGGAGCCTTGACGAACTGCGATTGTCCAACGCGGATGATGGAGATCATGATCAGCATAGCCTCTGCGCGGAGGGCGTTTGTTCGTGCCTCGTCCTTGGAGATTTCCGAGTGGCGCATGACGAGTTTTGTGAGGGTTGACGAGAGCACGCTCGCGAGATAGTAGTCGCCATCCAAGATAAGTTGACGGAGCGGCGGCTTTTGTGCAGCCTTGACAGCTTCCAACTTTGCCAGTACTGCGGATGTGCTTGTGAGGGCGCTTTCGGTCGCATATGTGCCGTCTGCCAATACTCTCCTTGAACCGGTCGGTGCTGATGGCTTGTCGGTGCCGTTCGTGTGAGCCTCCTTCTCCTCCTGGCCCTCAGATCCTTCGTCCAGTAGCCGCTGCTCGGAAGCCAGTATCGGGATCTCACCCAAACTGGCGCGTATCCGCTTCCAGGCATCTCTGATGTCACTGGCCTCCGTAGAGTATTCTCCGACAATCCAGAGTGCGCCACGGTAAACCTTTCCGGCGCGAACCTCGCTCAAGGTCGAGACCAGTCTCTCGACGATAGTCTGGCGGAGCTTGGGGAACTTCTCGACAACCTCCTTTACGAACGAGATTACATCGACAGCCGAGGTGCTGTTGAAATCGGCGATGAAATCCATCAGCAGGTCAACAACACTTGCCGCGACTTCAGAGAACCTGATGGCGCATTGATGTATCGAGTGAATGAGGAGCTGGCGGTACTCGTTGTTCTTCTCGTATTCCTGGTCAACAGTCTTTGTCAATTCCTTCTTCAGGAGAAGCACAACATCAGCCACGTTCTTGCTTGACACCATCTCCAGGGTCAGCTCGAGTGCCTTGCGCCTGACATCGATATCTGGGCTAGAGAGCACGCGTAGGATTTCCATGGTAAGGTCGTCCAGAACACCCTCATTCTTGCGACGCAGCTGATCGACGCGATCGAGAACGATAAGCTTAACGTTGTTATCCGCCTCCTTGATGCTGAGCTCAATGAACTTGGAAGCCGCTGCCTTGACCGCAACCGGGTTGTTCGTCAATGCCGTCAGGGATGACGCCGCCTCGTAGACCACTGTGGAAGCACCCGCCTCGAGGAGATCGAAGATCAGGCGCAGGTATTTGGGCTTGTTCTGGGGGTTCTGGAACGCATCCTTCCTGATAAACTCCAACTCCACAAGCTGGATCAGCTCATCGGCGTTGGGGATACCGTCGAAGACGCTGCTGAGGTATGCCAAGGCCTTGTCGTGGTTGATGCTTGAGAGCGCGGCGAATGCGTTGCGCTTGCATGTGTGGTCGCTCTCGGTCTCAAGGAAGGCGGTAAGCAGGTCGGCAGCATCGGGGATCAGGGCTTCCGATAGCTGGAAGATGGAGGCGACGGCGAAGACGGCGTTCTTGCGGACGTATGCGTGGCGGTGCTCGAGGCAGGATCGGACCGAGGAAAGGAGGGGCTCCATGAGCTCAGGTTCGCGGAGCTTGCACAGGAAACGGAGTGTATTCCCCCTGATATACTCGTTCGGAGCCTGGAGATCGTGTAGCACTCCGTTACTGCAGTTATAGTTAGCTAGGCATCATTGGAGATGTATGTGGCAAGCCTACCAGACTAAGATCATCTCCTGCTTGAGCTTCCCGCTGGCGTCGAGCTTGGGGCAAATCTCGTAGTAGAAATAGAGGAGCTTCTTGAGAGTCTTGCTCTTGGAGGGCATTACAAAGCGAATGATGTGCATGAGAAGTTGGGGCATTGGGTCGCCATTGAGCATAATTGTGAGGATGCGCTTCATGGTGTCGACCTTGGTCTCGTCGGTCCCCTTCTCGAGCTGCGTGCGCAGCTCGGACATGGAGGGCACATCGGAGAGGTTGTCCTGGTGCACCAAGCTGTAGGAGCTCTCGAGGAAGGAGGCCATTGTGTGTGGGTTTGCTCCCCGAATCGGGCGGACCTGTGGGCTGTGGCTTGCTCCTTGTCGGTCAAGGTCTTGCGTGTTTCCCTAGCTTCAGCGATGCGCGGGCAGAGGCCGTCCGTCGTCGTCGTCGGTTTGCGGAGGGTTGTCGACGGAGGGATCGGCGTCAACAGGAAGTGTAGTAAAAGATTGTAGAGTCGGAGTCCCCAAGGGTATCAATATTGTGAGGCTTATCAACAAAGAATCAACAAACAATCAACAAACAATCAACCACAAGCTCTCTGATTGCGGCTCTATCCCCTTAGAACCACGTTGGAGATTCCGTGAATTAAGCGATGTGTTCGCTCGAGTCACGTGAAAGCGGCGGTTTGGCGGTTTGGGGGTGGTGGGTGGTTCTGCCCCGCCAAAATCCGTCATTTTTGGCTTTTGGGTGGTCTCAGTCGCCAAAGCTTGACAGGGCTGAGACAATAATTCGACCTTCTACAATTAATATATATCTACGCTCTACTCTTCTACAGCGTCAACCTCAACCTCAACCTCACTCTCTAGCTCAATCAATTGTTTATAGGTACAATCTTATAGACGCAGAGTCAAGATGGCTGCCACCGGTGCTGCAAACTCCGATCCCTTCTATGTCCGCTACTAGTATGTCTTGCTCTCCGTTGACACCATTCACCCCGCCGCTCTCTCTAACTCGCCGCAGCTCAGGACACCAAGGTCGACACGGTCACGAATTCCTAGGTACCTTCCTCTCACGCCCGCCCTTCTCCCGCTGCGCATCCACTGACTGTACCTTCCTCTAGAGTTTGACTTCCGCGTGCTAGGCGATGGAAGGAGCGCATCGGCGCGATATGCGAACAACTCAAACTACCGCAATGACTCCCTGATCCGGAAAGAGAGTGCGTCTGGCCGATTGCCCCTGCTGGTTGGGTGTATAGCTAATCAGGATGCGTGTAGTGTGCGTCAGCTCGACGATGATTGACGAGATCAAGCGCATCATCAAGACCAGCGAGATCCTGAAGTATGTCAAGCAGAGGGTGACTGGTTACAATACAATACAACACACGTGTGCTGACGATGACACAGGGAAGACGATGGCAAGTGGCCGCAGAAGAACAAGGATGGGCGACAAGAGCTGGAGATTAGACTGGGGAATGACCACATCTCGTTTGAGGTAAGCTATACCTGCTGCACCATGCGTCACAATGTGCTGCGATACTGACAACATTTGCGCAATCTAGACAGCCAAAATCGGATCCCTCGTCGACGTCAGCGACTCCGCCGATCCAGAAGGCCTCCGCGTTTTCTACTATCTCGTGCAGGACCTCAAGGCACTGGTCTTCTCGCTGATAGGCCTTCACTTCAAGATCAAGCCGATATGAGCAGTGGGAAGCACAAGGGGGCGTTGTGTGGCATTTGCGCATTTTGCTAGGAGAAACGGGGCGTTTTATATCGTGTTCTCGATACCATTGAAGGTTGATCAGGGGAATTACAGAAAAATCTTGCGTTTTGAGGCTGTACAAGGACCACAGGGACCGAGCAAGCAGACCAAGCATGACAAGCATGATCGAATGTAGATTAGATATTTGCATCGCATGGAGGAATATTTCTTTTCTAGCACTTTCACCCCGACACTTTGACACCTTGACGTCTTTTGTCGTTCTTTAATGTTCATCTATATGTGACATTTGCATACTCAATTATCTATATATTATATATCCCATTTTGACTCTGTATCTGCCATAATTTTTCGCCATCGCTCTAAAAAAATGCCGTTCGTGGGGCCCTCTAACCACTGGCAAGCCAGGCCAGCCTTGGCACCCGATGGGGGTCATAGAATCGACAATCGCAAATCGCATCCATCCACTCCCGCCACCAAAAACCCCACGAAACCCGCCTTATAAACAACACACACTCTCCATCCATCGACGACATTTACATCCCGCAACAATCCCATACACCCCTTCACCGAGCGATGCATTTCGCCGCCCCGGCACCGTCAGATTAAACCTCCCCGCCTCCTTCACCAACCAAACAGCGATTGCACAGTACACTACCCAACCAACCTAGGATATCCCGCAACCCAAGCGGCTCCACACCGTCTGACGGGACCAGCGGACTCGGCCGTGGGCGCCACGATCGCTCGAGCGAGCGATTCCGATATCGATATGCCAGGCACGCCATCAGTGCGAGCGGACGCGGCGGCGGCGGAGGAGGCGATGAGGCTGCACGCGTCGTGTCCGCCAGAGGAGGAGCGCGGGGAGGCTTGGGTGGCGGCGGTAGAAGGCGACGAGTCAGAGGCCGTGAGTGGGAGTCAGAGTGCTACGCCGACGCCGACGCCGACGCCGCCGCCGGATGGACAGCAGATGATGAAGAGGGTTGAGGGGGGGCAGCGAGGGAGTGTGGAGATGTTGTCGCCTGTTAGTGTGGAGGAGAAGGGGGAGGAGAAGGAGAGGGAGGCGCCGGTGCTGAGGAGAAGTTATGCAGGGAGTTCGCCGTCGATGAGCTATGAGTTCTCGAATGTCCGGGTGAGTGCTTGGTGATGTAATCGGGGGTGTTTTTGGGAGGCATGTGCTGACGAGTGGGTGGATACAGTTGAAGCCGTCGTCGCCGTCGTCGTTTTTGCGGTCGGGAAGCCAGTTTCGCGGCACGCAGCATTCGGAGAGACAGGTTTATGAGGTGCAGGTTGAGATTAAACATGTCGATATGAGAGAGTCGTCGCTATGCGGATACCTGCGCATACAAGGTACGACCCCCCAACCAACGTTTCGAACTACATACAAGATAGATGCTAACCCAACCCGCGGCCAGGCCTGACTGAGGACCACCCAACCCTGACGACGTACTTTGAGGGCGAGATCATCGGGACAAAGTACTCCTTCCTCACCAAGCACGACGACTGGGGCTCGACGGACAAGGTGGACCTGGAGCACTGGTCGAAGTTCCAGGCGTTCCGGCCCTTCAGCAAGGCAGCGCGGCGGGGGAACCTTCACATCCCCAACCTGGCGCAGCGAGAGAACATCTTTATGCGCTGGAAAGAGCACTTCCTCGTCCCGGACCACCGGGTACGCACGATCACGGGGGCGAGTTTCGAGGGGTTCTATTATATTTGCTTTAACCAGCGGAGCGGGAGCGTGAGCGGGATTTACTTCCATGCGAAGAGCGAGAAGTGCGTATTCCCTTCACCGCCAGCATAGGTCTTGACTAACACTCCCTAGATTCCAACAGCTCGAGCTCAAGCACGTCCCCGACCGCGGGACCTACGGCGCAATTGAATTCAGGTGAGCTGGCTGGCACAGGGCCCCTGGCAGGGACACACGGAGTAGGGCGACACGGACAGGGTGAACACACACACACAGACACGACATACGGCGATTTTAGGGCAGGACAACATGAGCGCGGTGCATATACGGAAACTGATTCCCCCCAGCCCAGCCTCCTCAATCACCCCCTCCCTCCCCGAACTCTAGCAAGGAGCTTAGGTGGTTTGGGAGGGGGAGGCAGGAGGCTGGCGGGCTTTGTTTACTCGATTTCGATTTTGTCTATTTTACTTTTACGTTTATTTTTTGTCATTTTTTTTGGAGACCTTTCTACAGGATGGGAAGAGGGATTGAGGGATGCGTTGCGTTGAAGGGGGGGGGGGTTGTGAATGGAGGAGGGGGCGTGTTGTCTTTTGAGCGTTTTTTTCAGAAAGGAGCGAGCGGGATGGGAAGGGAGTGATGAAAAGGAGACGAGGATGGGGATGGTGGATGTGTATTCCAAATTCCATACCATATACAGTATGAGTAGCCGTTCCGATGATACGGCAATTGAGCGCTTTGAACACGGGGACCAACCAGTTTTTGCTTTTGAGGTGAAGTTATTCCTAGCCAGACCCCATGAATGCCACTGTAGATATGCTCTTGCTCCCTTCCCCTGATTTATATCTATGCTTCTCCATTTCATCATAAACATATGAAAACCCCCCCTTCCAGCGTTCATGCACAGTCTGTCCTCATGCCTAGCACCCGGTTATTCACCCCCCCGATCTCCATTTACCCATAGCACCCACCACCAACTCCCCCCATCGTGCACGTGCCACTCACTACCCACCCCCATCATCCACATCCCCCTGTTTGCTCTGTTTGCCCCGCACCTCACGCCCCATGGCCGCGCAACCCGCGTAGCTAGCACGAACTGTCAAAAGTATATCGCGACCACCACCCACGAACAACCCAAACCCCACGCTCAAGTCTCCCACCACGCTCCCCTTTCAACAGGGCTACTGCTGCACTGCTGCTGAGTTCGTCGTCGTCGCCAATATGGATTTCGCACCGTACCAAGGTTTGCCCTCCCCGCGGCACAGAGTAAATAAAACCGAGCGAAACTAATGGGCACAAGACACCTCCCCCGACGCAACGCGCACGCTCTCACCACCCCCCACCGACCGGCGCTCCACCTCCGCCTCCCCCCCCTTCCAAGCCCCACACGCGAACCCATGGGCCGCGCAATCAGGTAGTCCACCGCCGCAGCAGGGTGGTGGGTTCACGAACACGCGGGATGTGGAGATGGGTGGGCGCGGGCGCGAGGCGCTGCATGATTACGATACGAGTCTGCCGCTGCGGCTGGATTACGAGGCGTGTTTAGCTTATTTGGCGTTGCCGCCGGCGGGGGCGGTGGGGTTGTTGTTGGTGGAGTGGAAGAGTGATTATGTGAGGTGAGTTTGTGGTGGCTGCTGTGTGAGTGGGAGGGGATGGGGCTGATGGTGATGTGTTTGTGTAGGTTCCATGCGTGGCAGTCGGCGCTGCTGTTTAGTGCGATGTTTGTGGTGCATCTGGTGTTTGCGTGGTCGAGTTTTTTGAGCTGGGTGTTGTTGGTGGGGGATGTGGGGATGATTGGGTATTTGACGCTAAGGGCCTATAACGATGGTGAGTACTCTTTCTGGTGTGGAATTGGCGTGGGTGGGAAGTGCTGACGGTGATGTAGCGGATACGCTTGATCGGTGCGAGGTCCCGTTCTTTGGGCCGCTGGCGAGTCGGATTTTGGACGATGAGTAGCGAGTAGGGGGTGGTGGGAGGACGAATAGCTCTAGGACAGTGATATGGAGCCGGGAGGGAGAGATGCAATGATACCCTTGGTGGATGGTATCTCTGGAACGCCAGGGCGTGTACATAGGGTGGAGGTGGTAATAGATACCTGTATTGATAATGCTGGGCAGCATACTATAGCTGCTGGTTTCTTATTTTCGCCTAGTTAATCTAGGGGGAAAGCTCTTATAATCATTCATTCCCACAATCACCACTCGGGACGCAAATATTTGTAATGGGGGAGGCAAGTGTCGTAATTTTATAGCTTGCACCGACCTTGTATTCTATATAGCAGTACCGATACCGGTAGAATGTGCGGGGTTGACATTTCTCCCCGACCTCTAGCTGGCCAACTCGGGATATAAGTTTCGTTATTATGCCTTCATGTCGATATGCTGCTATTCGGTCGTGGACACAAGTATTATACACCAAGTTATCCCGTTCAAGATCTTCGACAAACGTGTCGCTTCGGTTCCAGGAACCAGTGTCCAGGTCTGAAAGCGCATCAGAAACTCCTCGGGGACTACCTGGGCGTTGGCTAAATAAAGAACGACTTTCCACGGGGACTCGTAGTCGTGTCCAACCTCCAGGTACTGGAAAGCCTCGAGGGGGAACTTAATATCAATACCGCTACGATGTTGCTTCATCGCTAGCTGGATTTGGGGATAATTGATCTCGTAGAGAGAATTATATAGATGGCGATATGCAGTCCACGACCCCAAAGGAAGGCTCCGAGAGTACGAGATGTCCCGGGGCCATTTAATTGCACTAATATGATGAAGTCGGAGACAGTTGTGACATGGAAGGAATAGAGGAAGACCCTTTGCTATGGTCGACAGAAAGTGCAACCGATCAGCATACGGCGCACGCCGTAATGATTTCCAGGACTTGGGCCCGAGTATGTGGCTCAGCTGGCGGCAACATAGAGCAAGGCATGCACCAGATTGTGTAGGAAGCATGCTTGCTACCGAGATGATTATTTCTAGTGGAAGGCGAAGTAGGTCGGATGTAGTTGCAGACTCTCCTCCGTTACTATCAGTCCAAATCGTTGACATAAGTCTTCGCTAGGAGTTTGCAAGTAAGGACATTGTGAACTTCGTTTGGGGTTGCTAGATTATGCGTATATTCCCAAGGGTTCTTGCTTTGCCCAGAAAGTGATAACGGGAATAACATCCCATAGAACGAGCTCAATCTCCGTGTCTCAAGGTACAGAAAGGTAGGAAATAGATACCAGCGCACAGGCCAAATCCAGTACGGTGGCCATACCGTATTGCTACCGTACTGGCCGGCGCGACCATCGCACTGGAGCGACGCTACAATCGCCGCTCTAATACCGACGGTGTATTAGGCGTATTTAGCAGCCCTTTACAGTAGCAATTACACTACGCTATTTGGTTAGATCACTACGTAAAGTGGATTTGTAATTTCCACTAATGTAAAACCCCTGAGGGTGCGCTATCAGCGCTATCCCCCATTTATCAAAAGTACGTACAGTCAAATGCCGCTAAGACGATGTTCGGTTAGCAGATATATTCAATTGTGCGATATATTTTCTCGCACCGAATCAAAACACCATATATTGTCCGATATTCAAGATAATCGTCATTCTGCCTCCAATTATCGTATTATCCATCAACCAATGTGTGTTTCTTGACCTTCAGAATGCCTCGAAAGCAGCCTATTCTACTCGAACAACGCCGTGCCCTTCGTGCCTGGGCTCGGAAACAACATCAAAAGCCAACTCAAAAGCAGTGTATCGAATGGTTCCTCCAGCAATATAACCACAAACTTAGCCAGTCGACAGTCTCTGAGTCTCTCAGCCATCACTTTGACAGCCTTGACGAAGCTCCTAATACCAACAGAGCACGATTACGAACTGGAAACTGGCCTGAAGTCGAAAAGCTTCTTCTTACTTGGCAACTTCGAATTGAGTCGAATGGAGGGTTTACAACTGGTGATCTACTTCAACAAAAGGCGCGACAAATCTGGGAACGCCTTCCACATAACGACAGCACAGTCTGCCCAGACTTCAGTGTAGGCTGGCTTCGACGATTTAAAGAACGACATAATATCAAAGTACGAATTCAACACGGAGAAGCAGGCTCAGTTCCAGAGTCTGCAGAAGATGGAATGAAGGCATTACGAACAATTGCAGGGGAATACTCAGAGGAAAATATCTATAATATGGATGAATCAGGACTCTTTTGGAAGATGATGCCATCTCGAGGACTTGCTACTCAATCTCAGGCTGGATTAAAGAAGGATAAGACTCGGATCAGTCTTGTATTTTGTGTCAACGCTTCTGGAACAGATAGACTTCCAGTCTGGATCATTGGAAAGGCAAAAACACCACGAGCTTTACGAAATCTTAGCATTTCAACAATGGGTGGTATATGGAGATGGAATAAGAAGGCTTGGATGAATACAACTATTATGGGCGAATGGCTTGAGGCGTTCTATCGACATATTGGCACTCGAAAAGTTCTCTTTACAATGGATAACTTTACAGCACATGCTGTTGCTCTTGAGCTTTACCCCCCTCCTTCAAATATTCATATTTGTTGGCTACCAGCTAACAGTACCAGTCGATATCAGCCTCTTGATCAAGGTATCATTCAATCTTTCAAAGCTTATTATCGACGACAATGGCTTTCATATATGCTTGAAGCCTTTGACAACAATCAAAATCCTATGGATACAATGAATCTACACTTAGCTATTCGATGGATTGTACGAAGCTGGAACAACTTGGTTACAAACACAACAATCTACAACTGCTTTCGAAAATCAACACTTATTTCAATGTCAATCCCTCTTCCTTGTCATACTGACATTCGTTGCACTCAGTTTGCTATCAAACTCAAGAGCAAACTTGGAAATCTCCTCCTCAAAACCTACAAGTCACTATACATATTTTGGCTTATCACACCAACAACAAGAGCAATACTACTCAACGATTGCTACAACCATCTATGATTCATTACACGTCATCGCTCCTTAGTTACTGGGCCGATATTACCACATAGCATATCTCTACAACCCTCTATGATTCATTACATGACATCACTCATACTACCACATGACATATCTACCAACTAGAGGCCTAGGAGCATGAACGATAGCTCTAAAAGCTCCTACAAACCTCTATGATTCATTACATGTCATCGCTCTTTAGTTACCCACAAGATTGGTTAAGTTATGACATAATTTGTCTATGACATAATTTGTCTATAGGGGTACTCTGACCTTGGACTTTCTTTTACTTCCTATAGGCTACGAACCTAAGAAATGGTTCTATGGGATTCTCTTACGTCGACTACAGTTACCAAGCCTGGTAAGTCATGGAAAGTCTTGGAAAATGAGAGAACTACATTCCTTTAGCATAAATAGGATTGCCCTTTCCTTAAGAAAGGGCAAGCAGACAATACAGTAAATCAACTATCACATACTTCCACGTCTTTTCCAAGCTTCCAAGCATTCATCTTGTTACTCCTTGTTTTTGAAAAGTCAGTGAGGTGTTAACCTCTGACTTACCCCTGAGTTCCCAGACTCAACATTTGTTGCAACTTGTCTGAACCACTTCACTACATCACACACCTGATTGCTGCGTTGTGGAATAGTCTAAGCTATGACCCTTTGGCTCTGTTTTCTAAGACAGTGTGTTGTCTTAGTAAATTCATCCCTTCCTTGGGTGGCTAGATTCTCACATCTGGTGCACCCACCATTACACCGAGAAATGTGGGGTTCATACTGAACGAATAAAGGGCTCGGATCTGAATGGCCAAGGACTGGAGGAAAGAGCTCGTGGTTGACTCAGTCAAATTCTGGTTCTGGTGCGGGTGGCCTAGGCAGGCAGGCGGGTGGGTTGGTAAAGGAAAAAAGTATAAAGGAAGGAAGAAGGAAGGAAGAAGAAATTGGGGCGTATATTTACCCTGAAAAAAAAATCGCCCAGCTACTCGTGCGGCCCAAAAGTTTCCACAGGGTCTGTGCGTAATAATTGGGCCATGTAAGTACTTGGAGAAAATGCATGTATATACTCTACTCGTACTATTGATCTACCCATGAAAGTTGTTCCTTCCATTGACTGCAATACACCGCTCCAACTTGTCCTTAAACGAAGCACATAATTGTGTAGATTTCCCATCCATTTTTTTCCCCCATTCTTCCTCAAGAAATACCCGTGCATGAGCTCTCTCAAACTTCCCCCCGTTTAATGGTGTATAGCCGTGAACCTGATCCTTGAGATAATCAAAGGCATTTTCAATAGGGTGCAAATTGGGAGAGTTTGGAGGCCAAAATTTCACTCTATAGATTCCCTCCTTCTTCATATAATCTTCCAATGATCGGTGAGCCTTCAAATGAAGACTTACATTATCATCCACAAACCATACTCGTTTTGTAGGAAGTAAAGCCTTTACTTTTCAAAAGTAGGGAAAGAGAAGAGGAATAAGAACCATCTCTCGATATAGAAACCAATCAATCCTGCCCTTTGAAACTTCTTGCCCTTCTAATTGCCGTCCTCTACTCCATGTCTCTATATCTCCAAACTCTTGTGAAGCAACTCATGCCTTTTTCCATTTGCTTTTGCCATTCCGAATATCTGCATTTAGAGTTTCCATATATCCGTACTCAAGAGTTCCAACTGTTGTTGCTCTAACAAGTTCATTCTCTGCTTTTGATTTCCAATATGCATTTATCTCTCGTAGTTTCTGCACATGTATCTGCTTCTCTTCTATACTTTCAGGAATCCATGAACGAGAAGGGCGTAAGATAGAGGTTTCTGAACTCATTGCTCCCCAAAACATAACTTGAAATAAAGATTTCTTCTGTTGAATTGCCATGCTCTCTGCTGTTTGACCCCGTTGAACTGTTATCCGTCGTTTCTTATGTGGATTCCCTCCGAAATTGATATATGATTCGTCTGAGAAAATAAAAATTGATCCAGCTTCAAGTTCAAATGCCCATTTGCAGAATTTCCATCGTACCGAAGGAATGATATTATCCAAGTAGGGCTTGAGGCAGATGTTTTTCCGTACAATAGGTTGTGGAATTTCAACACTTGAGTGATTCTTTGCAACTCGTTTGTAATGGTGGGTGCACCAGATGTGAGAATCTAGCCACCCAAGGAAGGGATGATTTTACTAAGATAACACACTGTCTTAGGAAAAAGAGCCAAAGGGTTGTAGCTGAGACTATTCCACAACGCAGCAATCAGGTGTGTGATGTAGTGAAGTGGTTCAGACAAGTTGCAACAAATGTTGAGTCTGAGAACTCAGGGATAAGTCAGAGGTTAACACCTCACTGACTTTTCAGAAACAAGGAGTAACAAGATCAATGCTTGGAAGCTTGGAAAAGACGTGGAAGTATGTGATAGTTGATTTACTGTATTGTCTGCTTGCCCTTTCTTAAGGAAAGGGCAATCCTATTTATGCTAAAGGAGTGTAGTTCTCTCATTTTCCAAGACTTTCCATGACTAACCAGGCTTGGTAACTGTAGTCGACATAAGAGAATCCCATAGAACCATCTCCTAGGTTCCTTAGCCTATAGGAAGTGAAAGGAGGTCCAAGGTCAGAGTACCCCTATAGACAGATTATGTCATAACTTAACCAATCTTGTGGGTAACTAAGGAGCGATGATGTGTAATGAATCATAGATGGTTGTAGAAGCTTTTGGAGCTATTGTTCATGTTCCTAGGCCTCTAACTGATAGAGATATGTCATGTGTAGTATTAGCCCAGTAACTAAGGAGTGATGTCATGTAATGAATCATAGAGGGTTGTAGAGATATGCTATGTGGTCATATCGGCCCAGTAACTAAGGAGCAATGACGTGTAATAAATCATAGAGGGTTGTAGCAATAATTGAGTAGTATTGCTCTTGTTGTTGGTGTGACAAGCCAAAATATGTATAGTGACTTGTAGGTTTGAGGAGGAGATTTCTAAGTTTGCTCTTGAGTTTGATAGCAAACTGAGTGCAACGAATGTCAGTATGACAAGAAGGTTGTGAATTTCAGTATTCCCTGCTATATATATGCAATAGAGTCAGCTGAGATTCCAAGCTTCTTTTCAATCTCTCCATATGATGCGTTCATGTATACACGCAAGGTAATAATTGCAGCATGTAGTGGTATTGAGATTTCAGCCATTGTTGAGCATTACTTCATTGCTTCATTCACTCTCATATTCTACGCGTGTACATGGTGCTTAGTAGATTCCTACAATCTAATTGGCTGTTGTGCACAGACCCTGTGGAAACTTTTGGGGCCGCACGAGTAAGCTTCCTACACCTCCACAGAAAACACCCTAAAATAAATCATAAACTCCTCCTATACTTTGGTACTGCGTGGGCAATGAGCATGTATGTGTAATCTCGGCGCCAGCACTTCGTGGCGAGCCCGGAGCCATCTCTCGATCCATCTCCGCGCGTCAATAACATCTCTTAATCTATCTCCTGAGCCACCTCCAAAACCAGTGTAGCCTCCTGTGCCACCTCCTAAGCCATCTCCATACCGTCGTTTCCGTTCCCAATTTCAATGCCAGAACAGCGAGGTAATTTCACGCACATGGATCCCGAAGTCTTCTGGGAACTCGTTACCGAAGTAAAAATAGCTGTAAGGGTAGGTAGGGAAGGGCTTGTTGTTGTCCATTTTATCAAGATCCCTAGACTCCGTATTAAACTCATATTCCATTACAGTAACTGCCTGGCCCCCAATCACATCGTCGTAGAGCAGGCTAAGATAAACCATCATCGAAATGGTTGTCAGAAAGTTGCCGTGAAATTACGGAAGACTGGTGGAAAGTCCTTGTAAATGCCTATCACGAAATTGAAGGCGTTAATCAAGAGATGGATCGCATGATATAAACGTCATTGATGACTTCCTGTCACCACCCCTTTTCTTCTCACCGCTACAGTACCACTATCACCACCGACCCATAACTACCGCCCCGTCACCGCCACATAACGTCCATGTCATGGTACCAGCAACCCGTAGACGCCAGGCAAGATGATGGCAACCTGTCTGATTACAACATGGCTCGGAAAACGCAACCGCTGTTATCGCATCAGTGGGATGCTTCTGGTATGATTGTTAGCGGAGTAACGAAGTTCCGTATTATAAATAGGAAAAACGGTGATTAAAAGATAGATATTAGCATACAAGAGACGGGGAGGGAGAGATGGAGAAGAAGGGGAGAAAATTAAATAATAAGAGAAATAGCTGCCAAAAGATGGCTACTATCTATCCAGTTGGAAATCTAGGCGCAAAGCTCCCAGCCGCGTGCTTGGTTCGCAAACCACCATGTCTCCTCCGAGAAGCCTCTAACGAGAGAAGAAGTCTTATTCAGACCTTTCATTACCTATAACAATATCGAATGCGTTGGTATGGAGAAAAATCTAGAACGGAAGCTACAGGAAACAAAAAAAACTCGGCAGGATGGATGCTTCCGCCACGACCCCCTGCCAAAGTCGACAATGATTTCCTGGCACCCCCCCTTTCTTCTTACTACTACTAATATCACTACTACTCTCTGTCACTACCGTGATGACATTCTGTCACTACCCTAACTCCCTCGTCACCGCATACAATGAGCATGTATATAGAATCCTAGTAGCAGCGAGCTGATTCGCTGCATATCCATCATCGTTTGTTTGATGACTATATGTCCAGGCGTTACGCAACCAGAACTGTGGCATTTCCTATGTTTGTTGACGAGGTGACGAGGGTTTATATGGGGAAGGGGGGTGGGGAAAGGGGTGGGGGAGATAGAGATGGAACGGAGAGGGAGAGACAGAAAGGGAAAAACGGGGAGGAGAGACAGAAAGGAAAAATGGAGAAGGGAAACGGAGAAGAGAAACGGAGAAGAGAAACGAAGAAGAGAAGAGAAACGGAGAAGAGAAACGAAGAAGAGAAGAGAAACGGAGAAGAGAAACGGGGAAGAGAAACGGAGAAGAGAAACGGAGAGAAGGGAAACGGAGATAGAGAAACGGAGACACAGAAACGGAGACACAGAAACGGAGACAGAGATAACAGCTACTAAAAAATATACACGAAAACCCAAACCTCCTGAGACTTTACACCCCCTACCCCCTCTTCCCCACACAACACATAAAAAAAAAGCCTCAAATTCCATAAACATCAATTTATCCACTCCATCCTACCACTATCATCCCTATCGCCCCTCTCTCCCCCCTCTCTCCCACCTCCCCCCCTCTACCATCGACACACAAACAAAAACACGGGAAGTCAAGCAAATAAACAACCCCACCCTTGTCGCCGCCATCCGTCCCAGTCCAACGCAAACCCCCAAGGTTTTCCATAAAAAGCAAAAGAAAAACAACACAACAAAAAGCGTTGCCCGGCCAGTGCCTACATATCCTTAAACGCGCAAAAAAGACACCCTCACCACCTCCATCTCCCAAATCTAGAGAAGACAACAGCATCTACTCAACAGTAACACTCTTCGCCAAATTCCTCGGCATATCCACATTCAGCCCCTCGGCAACCGCAAGCCAGTACGCCATGAGCTGGAGCGGGATGACATTCAGCAGGCCCTGGAGGCAGTCCACCGTCTTGGGGATCTCGATCTTCTCGCACTTGTCCTCGCGGAACTCCGAGTCGTCGGGGTTGCAGATGACGATTGGTTTGCCGGCACGGGCGATGACTGTTTTTCTCCATGTCAGTATGCTGTACTAAGGGGGTATGGGAGAAGGGGGAATAAACGTACTCTGCTGATAAGCATTCAACGACTTCGCAAAAATATTATCCCTCGTCAAAATCATAATAATCGGCAAATTCTCATCCACCAGCGCCAACACCCCATGCTTCAGCTCCCCCGACATAACCGCCTCGCAATGCAAGTAGCTGATCTCCTTAATCTTCAGCGCGCCCTCCAGCGCAGTCGAGAACTGGCTTCCGCGTCCAAGCAGCAGGAGCGAGTTCTGCCCCTGGAACGTGCGCGCGCACAACTCCTTGATGGGCTGATCGAGCTTGAGAATCTCCTTGATCTGTGCACTCACACCCCCAAGACCCTCCATGATCTCCTCGCGGCGCGCGGCCTTGGAAGCGCGGTCCTCGGAGAGGGAGAGCGCGACCATGACCATGGCGATGAACTGGGAGGTGTAGGCCTTGGTGGAGGCGACGCCGATCTCTGGGCCGGCGTTGACGTGGACACCGCAGTGGGTGAGGAGGGAGATGGAGGAGCCGACGACGTTGACGATGCCGACGGTAAGGGCGCCGCGCTCGAGGCAGTAGCGCAGGGCCATGAGGGAGTCGGCGGTCTCGCCGGACTGGGATGCGAAGATGCATGTGTCGTCGCGGAAGACGGGGGGCTGGCGGTCGAGGAAGTCGGAGGCGAGCTCGACGGTGATGGGGATCTCGGTGAGCTCCTCGAAGATGCCGCGGACGGCCATGCAGGAGTGGTAGGAGGTGCCGCAGGCGATGAAGATGACGCGGCGGCAGCGGCGGATGGTCTCGATGTAGGAGCGGAGGCCGCCGAGGGTGACCTTCTTGTTCTCGATGTCGAGGCGGCCGCGCATGGTGTTGATGACGGATTCGGGCTGCTCGAAGATTTCCTTCTGCATGAAGTGGTCGAATTTGCCCTTCATGATCTCCTGGAGCTCGAGCTCGAGCGTCTGGATGGTGCGGACGTTGGGGGAGCCGTCGGACTTGGTGAGGCGGTGGATGTTGAGCGAGCCCTCGTGGATGTGCGCGATGTCGTCGTCCTCGAGGTACATGACCTTCTTGGTGTGCTCGATAATGGCCGATGGGTCGGACGACAGGTAGAACTCTGTTGGCAGTGGCACGCCGTCATCGGTCATGAAAGCCCTGGATTGCGATCTGCGGAGCAGCGACTTGTCAGCGGCGGTTCCGCCGGCGCTCAGGAAGTTTCCAACGCTCGACTTCTTGAGGGCGGCGTTCTGGGATGCCTGCTCCGCTGGCAGTGGCGTGTCCTCGGCGTACTCCACGTCAACGAAATCCACCTTCATCGGCTTGTTGGTGCGGACACCAATGACCAATGGGGAACCCTTCCTCGCGGCGATGACCTCGTGGGGGTAGTGAATCGACTTCATCAGCAGGCCAAACGCGCCCTGCAGCTCCTTGATGACCGCCTTGGCGAGATCGGTGAAACCGATCGACGGGTTCGTCTCAAACAGGTACTTGGCAAGCTTGGGGATGACCTCGGTGTCCGTCTCCGTCTCGAACTTGAAGCCCTTGCTCTCCAGCAGCGTGCGCAGCTCCTTGTAGTTTGTGATGATGCCATTGTGCACCACGGAGAACTCCCATGCTGGGTCGGACCTGTACAGCGTGTCAGTGATTGCTCAACCGGTGAGTACCTAGGAGTGCAAACATACCTGTGGGGGTGGCAGTTGAGGCGGGAAGGGGTGCCGTGGGTAGCCCAGCGGGTGTGTGCGATACCAGCGTGCGAATCGAAGACCTTGGTCATATCGGGCTTGGACTCCTCAATCAGCTCCTTCAGCTTGACCACCTTGCCGACCTCCTTGTAAGCAAACACCTCATTCTTCTTGTCTCCGTCGACGGTGAGACCGGCAGAGTCATAGCCACGGTATTCGAGGCGGGCGAGGCCTGTGGGGGGACACAATTCAGTATTTGGAGCTTCAGGGCACGGGCAAGCGGTGAGGGCGGGGCAGGAACAGGAACTCACCATTGACGAGGGTGTCGAGGATGTATTTCCTGTCTCTCTCCACCAGGTAGTTGATGTATCCGAAAATTCCACTGAGAAGGGTATGTTAGCTTTGGAACGTCACAGGGGGTGTTATGGTCGCTGGTATCGCGAAGTGAGGTTTTGTTGACTTCGTGGTGCCAGGGTGAGCGGGGGTCCTCGTCCTCTGAGCAAGGGTGACGCACCACATTGTACTGTAACTGGGGCCCTTAAGCCTGTACGCCGAACGAGGGAGGAATTAGTAGATAGCTGAAGGAGTGGAAGTGGAAGTGGAAGTGGAAGTGGAAGTGGAAGTGGAAGTGGAAATGGAAATGGAAATGGAACTGGAGTGGAAGTGGAAGTGGTAGGTGTAAATGTTGATTGTAGAGTGAGGATGCAGCGGGCGTATTTTATGCAGTAAAATGGATATGGATGGAGCTACGGTGGGGGGGTTTGGCCGTGCTATTTTGGTGTTTACGTACTCCGTAAGTTACAGGTGGCAGAGCTAGGTACCACTAGTTTGCAGTACCCACCCGGCTTAGAGTAGTCGACCGAAAAGAAACCCAGCACCATCAACCACACTGGGGGGAAAATCAATGCCAATGCCAATGCCAATGCCAATGCCAATGCCAATGCCAATGCCAATGCCAATGCCAATGCCCGCAGAGACAGACAGACAAAACCCAACTCGGACTTTTAGTATACGGCTATCCAAGTACAATATCGATCTAGTGAGTTGCCGGGTTGGCCCCTTCCCTGCCTGTTCCTGTCGTTGCTGTACGTGGGGATGCACGGCAGAGGATATATAAACGGACTCTTTAGCATAGCCACGATGAAAGGGGAACCCTCCCAAAACGGGACATTGACGAGGCGACTGGATATGTCAGATCAGGGGTAGAGCAGCTAGGAGGCTGTAGTAGTCTCGCATAGCCACGAAAAAAGGGGAGGTGGTGGCGACGTGCAGGTCACAATCACAAGCACGTCCAAGCACAATACTCCCCCGCACTGGTCCTAACCAGACGTCACAAACATAAATCCCCGCAATATAGTCTGTATAATTCCCATTCCATGATATTACAGATGAGCTCGATCCATGCTTGTACGCCCGCCCCCGTCCTGCCAATACCGATGCCCGCACGCGCGCCATCCTACAAGTGAATTGGTTCACCCCCCAAGCCAAACCCCCCCTCCCCTCACCATTACAGCTTCTGGTACTCCAGCTTCCCCTCCAACTTCTTCGATTCCGCAACCTTGCGAACCGCTTTGTTGAAGTCGTCCTGGTTGATTGCGTCGCGGTAGTCGCGGATGGCGAAGAGGCCGCTGGGGATATTGTCAGCGGGGATATTCTATAAAATCGAGGGGTAAACAGGGGACACTCACGCCTCGGTAACAACATTCCTCAAATCCGCCCCATTCAACCCATCACTCATCTTCACCACACTCTCAAAATCAATCTCCCCCTCCGTCACCACCCCCGCCGCATGAATCTTCATAATCTCCAACCTCCCCACCTCATTCGGCAGTGGAATCTCAATCTTCCTGTCCAGTCTCCCCGCTCTCAACAGGGCCGGATCAAGCGTATCCGGACGGTTCGTCGCCATGATGATCTTGGTCTTGCCGAGGTAATCGAAGCCGTCGAGCTGGTTGAGGAGTTCCATGAGCGTGCGCTGGATCTCGCGGTCGGCGGAGGTGCCTTCGGAGAAGCGACGCCCGCCGATGGCGTCGATTTCGTCCATGAAGATGATGCAGGGCTCGTGCTCTTTGGCGTATCCGAACATTTCGCGGATGAGGCGGGCGGATTCGCCGATGTATTTGTCGACGATGGCGGAGGAGACGACTGCGGGGGGCAGGGGCGTTAGTTCGTGTTTTGTATGAATGGTGAGTATGTACTGGGGGGGGGGGGATAAGCATACCCTTCAAGAAATTCGTCTCCAACCCCGACGCCACCGCCCTCGCCAACAACGTCTTCCCCGTCCCCGGCGGCCCATATAACAAAACGCCCTTTGGGGGTTTAATCCCAACTCTCAGGAACAGCTCCGGGTTCTTAAGCGGCAGCTCGATGACCTCTCTCAGCTCCCTGATCTGCTCGTTCAGCCCGCCGATCCCGCCGAAGCTGACCTGTCCGGGGTCCTCGAGCGACATGTTGTAGACGAGCGGGTCGACTTCGCGGGGGAGCATGCGCATGATGGTTAGGGTTGTCATGTCGAGCGCTACGCGGGTGCCTTGCTTGAGCTTCTCCTTGTCGACTTTTGAGCGGCAGCCGACGACATAGCGGGGGCCTGAGGAGGCTTTCACGATAACTAGTGGATAGGGTTAGTAAAAGCTAGATTGTATAGTGTGTCCAGAACACGCACATCTCTCATCGTCCAATTGCTTCAAGACCTCCCCGATAATCTGCCCTACGCTTTGTAATGCCTTGAGGTTATCCTCCGTATGATCGTAATCCTTCTGCAACCCCTTGATATCCAACCGCAGCGCCTTGAGCTTGGCCTCCCACTCCCTCGACTCCAGCAGTTTAGTCTTGAAGGAGGAGAGGGAGTGCTGGCGCGCCTCGTCTGACATGGTGAGGTTGGGCCGGGGTGAGAGCGGTTCGCGGGCTGGGTGTAGCGTGCGTGGCCCTGTGGATGAGCGAGCTCTGGCCTCTAGGTGTTGATAAAAAAGTGGCGAGCCGTTGTCTTGGGTGGGAGAGCAAGGGTAGATCGATTGATCTGAGGTTGGTGGGTGAGGGAGCTGAGGAATTAGGTTGTGATGGTTTGGAAGGCGCGTTGCGTTGATGCTGGAGAGCTTTGATGACCAAAGGCAACATAGCTCGTTGCGCAGCTACAAGGGACTGCGGTAGGTTCCGTTGGGGATTAGTGATGAGTGAGTGCCTGAGGCAAGAATTTGAATTTAATGTAAGTTGCCTAGACCGGGTCACATGATGTCACGTCACGTGTATATATTTTAGAGGGCTTTCATGAGATCGGGTTCTGGGCCGACTCTCCCGACTCTCCCGACTCTCCCGACTCTCCCCATGTTTTATCCCGAGGTTGCCCCTCACACTGTGCTGCGCTGGTGTGCGGAGAGAGACGGAAGGACGCTGCCCAATACTAATTGCAGTTAATGGGATCGGGATGGTAGATCTTACTTTAAAGTAGTGGTGTAGCCTTGGGGGTGTTCATATACAGTAGTTCATATAGAGTAGTTCATATAGAGTAGTTCATATAGAGTAGTTCATATAGAGTAGTTCATATACAGTAATATACAGTAAGTTATGTAATCTAAGACCTACCCGTCATAAGTTAACTATTAACCAAGTTTAACAAGTTTAACAAGTTTAACAAGTTTAACAAGTTTACCAATTTAACAAGTTTAACAAGTTTAACAAGTTTAACAGTTAGTTTAGGTATGATACTCCAAATGGCAAGGCTGGCGAGGCTGGCTTGGCTATACCACCACCCACCACCACACCACAGTAAAGAGTACTTTCAACCATATGGCATTCCACCACTATTCCAATGTACTCCCAACCTATGACGGTAGACTTCGTTGCTGTTCCAGCTCGTGGCCCAATGAAAAGCTTTAGAGCTCCGACCCCGCCTCGCTCACCTCACCACCCAACTCAACTCAACTCTCCTAATCTCGTCCCATCCCACCAAAACACCCATCTCCCCCCTCCCAAAAATCAACAAATCATCCTATCCTAGCAAAGAAAACAAAGAAAACTTCAAAGAAGGTACGTCGTTATACTCCTATCTGCCGCTATTATCCCCTCTATATATTACTTTTCCTTGAGAGGCATTACGATATCTGTATCCAGCGCCTCGTCACGCCTACCGTATCAGCTTTTGCGACCCCGCCATTCCGCTCCTCACTCTTGCTCATCCCACCTACCTATCCTTGCCTACCATCCCCACCGATACCGCCGACAAGACTACTAACCATTTTCTCTTAAGATCTCTCACCTTCCCATCAAGATAATAAAAGTTGGTTCTTCTCCCTCACATCACTCCATCAGCCACTCCCCGAACTCCTCAGCTAATTCCTCCACCCCCTCCTCCAGAACGCGTCATTATGCCTATCACCAAGGTCCACGCTCGTCAGGTCTACGACTCTCGTGGAAACCCAACCGTCGAGGTTGACGTTGTCACTGAGACCGGTCTCCACCGTGCCATTGTCCCTTCGGGAGCTTCCACTGGTACGTGCCACCTCGCATCTCTCCCGACCGAACCCGATTGTGGTTGGCAACTGACAAACCGGGCAACACAGGCCAGCACGAGGCATGCGAGCTCCGTGATGGAGACAAGACCAAGTGGCGCGGAAAGGGTGTCTTGAAGGCTGTTGAGAACGTCAACTCCATCATTGGCCCGGAGTTGATCAAGAAGAACGTCGATGTCAAGGACCAGAAGTCCATTGATGACTTCCTCGTCGAGCTTGATGGCACCACCAACAAGACCAAGTTGGGCGCCAACGCCATCCTTGGTGTCTCTTTGGCCATTGCCAAGGCCGGTGCTGCTGAGAAGGTATGTGACGGTTTGATCTGATGAGCATGAAGATAAATATTGACTTTTGCAGGGCATCCCACTTTACGCCCACGTTTCCGATCTTGCTGGCACCAAGAAGCCATACGTCCTCCCCGTCCCATTCCAGAACGTCCTTAACGGAGGGTAAGCTTGACAATCCTTAGATTACCCAACTCCAGCTAACGAATCCCCAGTTCCCACGCCGGTGGCCGTCTCGCTTTCCAGGAGTTCATGATCGTCCCATCGCAGGCACCTTCCTTCTCCGAGGGTATGCGCTGGGGATCTGAGGTGTACCACACCTTGAAGACCCTCGCCGTCAAGAAGTACGGCCAGTCCGCCGGAAACGTGGGTGATGAGGGTGGTGTCGCACCAGATATCGAGACTGCCGAGGAGGCTCTTGAGCTCATCACTGATGCCATCAAGGAGGCCGGTTACGAGGGCAGGATGAAGATCGCCATGGACGTTGCGTCCAGCGAGTTCTACAAGGAGGACGCCAAGAAGTACGATTTGGACTTCAAGAACCCCAACAGCGATCCCGCCAAGTGGATCAGCTACGAGCAGCTTGCCGACCTCTACAAGAAGCTTGCTGAGACCTACCCCATCGTCAGCATCGAGGACCCATTCGCTGAGGACGACTGGGAGGCGTGGAGCTACTTCTACAAGACCTCCGACTTCCAGATTGTCGGTGATGACTTGACCGTCACCAACCCCATCCGCATCAAGAAGGCCATCGAGCTCAAGTCTTGCAACGCCCTCCTCCTCAAGGTCAACCAGATTGGTACCCTCACCGAGTCGATCCAGGCCGCCAAGGACTCCTTCGCCGCCGGCTGGGGCGTCATGGTCTCGCACAGATCAGGTGAGACAGAGGATGTCACCATTGCCGACATCGTTGTCGGTCTCCGCGCTGGTCAAATCAAGACTGGTGCCCCGGCCCGTGGCGAGCGCCTGGCCAAGCTCAACCAGATCCTCCGTATCGAGGAGGAGCTTGGTGACAAGGCCATCTACGCCGGCGAGAACTTCAGAACCTCGGTCAACTTGTAGATTGTTGAGCGGTCCCATTTTGTTGTGTTCTTGTGAGCGATGATGGAATGGGATGGAATGGGATGGGACACGGGTATAGGGTATACTCATATAGTTGCTTGCTAGGTATAGCCCTGAACCAATCAAAGATTGTTAGTTGCTGGTCGATTTAGAAACCGTGATTCATACTAGTACGGCAGTCACTCAGGGTTACAATCAACAAGCCAGTCACTCAGTCACTCAGTCATTCAGTTACGAGATAGATTCTATCAGCTTAAATAGCCAGTAGGTAGTGTAGTGTAGCCCCCGTCAGACGAGTAGTAGTTATCCTTGAGTTGACTGGTCATAAGTAAAATATTGCTTATATTGACAAAAGTCCGTTTTAGAAAAAAGAGTCATATCATATTGCATTCTAAATTTCTTACAATGTAGCCAATACATGGAAGATACAGCATGTTTTCGGTTGTCGGCGGTGGAATTTCCTTGTTTTCCTTGTTTTCATTGCGGCAGTGACAGTAGAATGAGAGTAGAAGTGACATAGGCACGTGTTGACTTATACTGTCTAAAATGAATGCCCGATCACTCCCAACAACCCCCGAACTAACTGAACATGAACACACTAATTTCCCCGTCAAACCCAGCCTGCCACACTGCGCCAGTGCACACACCTCCCCTCCCTTCAAATAACTATTTCCAACAAAAGATTCCCTTTTCCACCCCTAACAAACTTTCAACCACCCTACCTTCCCACCAACCAAATATTCAATATTCACACTCTCGAATAGAATCTCAGAATCATCACTCTGCTATCGAACAAAGCCAGTCAATAAAATACCCGCCATCATGCCTCAAAAATGGGGTAAGTCATTTTGCGCCTTCCGTGTTCTGTCCTATGGGAGAAGGTCGTCGTAAAACGAACGCGAACAAAAATCCCCTACATTCGCGCACACAGAAAGACAGACAGGGCGCCATCTATATGCGATCACAGGCGGGCTCAGAATGATGGAAGCCCTCATCCTGTTACCCTGCTGGGTCTGCAGCACGTCGACTCTGCGGTGTATGCAGCGCGTTGCTGGTCGACCCCTAGCGCCGCAGGATCTGTGACGCAGGATCTGTGACGCTCATTCACTGACCGCTACTCTGCCGAATATAGATGACGACGAGGACAACAGCACCCCTCCCTCCTCTCCACCCTCCGGGGCCGTCCAGGCCGTCGGTGTCCCGACCCGCAGGGGCAAATTCGATGATGAAGAGAGCGACAGCGATGTAAGTAGTTCCCTGCCCACCCCCGTCCCCCGTCCCCCTCCCCCATCCCGACGATGCCATCGCCACCCACGAAGCGATGCTGACGATCCCCCGCGATCCAGGTCCTAGACTCCTGGGATGCAGCCGAGGACTCCGAGGTGGAGCGCGAGAAGGCCCAAGTCGCAGCCGCGAAGAAGGCCAAGGCTGACGCCGAGGCCGCCGCGAGCAAGAAGTCCAAGTCCCAGCGCGTAGCTGAGCGCATCGCCGCCAAGAAGCTTCTCCTCGAGGCGGACAGCGACGCCGGGAGTTCCGATGAGGATGAGGGTGCCCGCCGCGAGCGCCTGCGTCGCACGGAGCAGGAGGCTGATCTGGCTCACGCCGAGGACCTCTTCGGCGCTGTAGGCATAAGCAATAACCGCTGCCAGAAGACGGCTGCCAACGCTGTGGTCCTTGACGCCCAGGACCCGAGCACGACTGTCGACCTCGCGAAGCTGCCGCTGTTCGACCCGAAGACCAAGCTGCAGTTTGAGCGCATGCGCGAGACGCTTGTGCCGCTGCTGACGGCCAACGTGTCCAAGGCGCACTATGTCATCTTCCTGCAGGAGTTCACCAAGCAGCTTGCCAAGGACCTGCCGTCGGACCAGATCAAGAAGGTTTCCAGCGGCCTGACGGCGCTGAGCAATGAGAAGATGAAGGAGGAGAAGGCGGCGGAGCGCGGGGGCAAGAAGTCAAAGGCGGCGAAGAACAAGGTCGCGCTTACGGCGAGCAGGAATGTCGCTAGCACGGCTGATGTGAATGCCTACGATGACGACTTTGGAGAGTAAGTCTATCCCCCATCTAATCCATACCAATACCAGAGTATGATCGATGCTAACTTCTCCCCGCAGCGACGACTTCATGTGAACACCTCTCTACTAGTCCATTCCTCGCGCACGCGCTCCCCTTGGCTCTCACCCCTCTACCGCCGTCCTTTCGCGCCGCCCGTCGCCGACGCACAGCTCACGCTGCGTCAGCTTGTCCGCGGCCAGGCTACAAGATATAGGTGCGGATGCGTGGCGGGGATCAGCTGGGGGATGCTGCGGCGCCTGGGAATGGCATTGTGATGGGATTGTTTTGGGGCAGGAAGAGGGATATTAGATAGATAGAAGATTAGGGTCTGCTTACGCTGATGGGGGAGAGTGGGCTTGGGCCGATTGTGTGGCTGTTAATGGGATGGGGACGAGGTGGTGGGAGGGCTTTATCTATTATTAGATCGATGGGGGTGAAAAGCAATGATTTCTCAACCGTGGATAGATGTGCTGTGCTGCTCGTGACGGATGAAGTCTGATGAAAGATTATATATCACAGCCCATGGCTACAGCAACCATGAGTAAATAAAGGTTCTCAATCACCCAAGGCTACCATATCATGCAAGCCAATTACTCAGACATCGAGCCAAGAGAGAAATTCCACCGTAAATTACGGCATCATTTCATCCCCAGTTATACACACTCCCAATCCAAACTTCAGGCAACACGAATATCACAACAGTGCAACTGTATTATAACCACACTTTATTCTCTAGCTGCCGATCCCTAACTCCATCCCATTGCCACACCATAACTATCTTACTCACCCCCATCTCCCATCCCTCTTCTACTCAGTTGTACGTCCATACCCCCTAATCCCCTCCGCAAACTTCCAGCTCTGCCCCTCGAGCACCTCATCCTCCTTCATCTCCACCCCCCCCTTCTTCACCACCGCAATACTATACCGATCCGTACTCCTCGCATCCCTATAATACAACACCTTCAAGCACTCCTTCACCGCCCTTACCGCCTCCTCCTCCGTTAACTCCTTCACAGCCTCCTCACTCTTCGCCACCTTCCTCAACAACGGCACCGCGAGATGGGCACCAAACCCCGTCGCCAGACAAGGTGCCGAGAACGTCGTTCCCAGCAAGTCCGCAGACGCCAAGAATGGCGCGTCGGCGCCGTCGAGCCCGGCGACCAGGAGGTGGTTCCACAGGGGGTTGAAGTCGGAGCGGCGCTTGTAGAGGACTTTGGAGAGGTAGGTGTGCACGTTTTCGGCGGTGAGGCCGTGGCCGCTGGACGAATAGGCTTCTTCGATGGAGAGGGATTGGAGGAGGCGGTCGAGGTATTGCATGTCGGAGACGTCGCCGCCGAAGCCGATTACGGCGGTGGGGGGGCCGGAGGAGGAGAAGGCGCGGAGGCGCTTGACGTTTGTGAAGCGTGCGAGGGAGCCGTAGGAGGCTGTGGGGGGTGTTAGCTGGGGGGAGTTCTTGGATTGGGGCCTGGGAGGATGGATTGGGGGGAGGTGGACGTACCAAGATTGTCAGCGGCGATGACGACGCCGTCTTTGAATTTAAGCCCGATGACTGAGGTTCCGGTCACGATGGGCTGTTGGGTGTGCTGCGATGGACCGGCTTGAGAGAGGTAGCTGGCGTCGTAGGCGCCATAGACGTCGTCTCGGGGCTTGGGGGTAGTTAGTAGGGTAGCTCTGTGTGGTTTGGGGTTGTCGGGGGGAACGTACACGGCCCCAGGCTTGTGGGAGGTGGTTCATGATTGTTTGTGTGTGTGTTGAAGGATTTTGAGGGAGGAGATGTAGGTGTGAGTTTCGCGCGAGGAGTTGTGGATGTCGTGGTGTTGGGTGTGTGAGGTGGAGGTTGATGGGTTCGTTGATGGATGGTTGCTGAGCTTGAGGTGCAGTCGCGTCGAGCTGGAACCTTGAGCTCTGATCGCTAAGGCAGAAACTTGTTGTACTGACTAGGACATAGCGATCTTATCGCGCTTGATATCGCAACGAATGGCCGCAACCACGCCCCGACTTTTAGAATGTCTGGTTTGGTAGATTATGGGAGTAGTGATGAGGAAGATGAAGTTGAGGTGGAGCAGGTTCCTGAGAAAGAAGTGAAGGTATGTTCAATTGCAACTCCAATCACCCACAGTGGCCAGCTACTGACGGTACAGAACACAGGCGGCTGAACTACCTTCAGACTCACAATTAGACCATAAACATTCGGAGAAAGGTACGAATTGCATGCCTACATTTATATTATATCTATATCTAACAGATGGCCAGATTCAAATACGAAAAACAACCATGCACCACAACCAGAACCGCTGGAAGCCCCCACTGAACCTCAAATTCAGCCAGACGCCCCAATTATTGGAGCTGCCCTTAGACCAACAGCGGCAGACTCAACAGCGTCGCTTCCCGAAGACACAGATGATACTACACCTCGCTCACCTTACTCGGTCAGCCGAGCGCTGTTGCGCGACCTGACCATGCCGCCTGTCCCAAACTTCGATATCCCGCCCTCGCCTCCAGGCTCGCCGCCTCCTACCACGGAGAAGAAATTCGCCCACTTCCTTCAGCTAAAGAAGCAGGGGACACACTTTAATGAGAGGCTGGCGAACTCTTCGGCGTTGAAGAACCCGAGCCTCATGCAGAAGCTCATGGATTTTGCGGACGTCAGCGAGGAAGACCAGTACGCTACGACGTTACCAAAGGATGTATGGGATCCGAGTGGGTTTCCCAAATGGGCTTACAAAGACGAGCTAGCGAAGAGCCAGCAGCAGGTCCTCAAGCGGGAAGAGGAGGAGAAACTAGGAGGACCGAGAGAGTTCGTTCCTGCGTCAGGGTCAGGAGAATCCGGCCGTTCTGCAACGCCCTGCGCAGCGCCGAGAGGGGCGCCGATGAGCGCCGCGGAGAGAGTTATGGCGGGACTCGACCGCGGAAAGTCGAATTCGCCACAGGTAGCGGGTACGAAGAGGAAGTCACGGTTTGAAAGCTGAGCGACGGTCATCGGAGTGGAAGTGACTTTGAGATGAGAAATACCTTTTGGCACCTCTGTGTCACGAGATTCGTGGAGACAGCCATGGCAGTCGTGCCAAAACATTGGGTGGCTATTATACAAATAGAAGAAGCTTATCCCAGCCGTTGAAATACATCACATATATTTCTTGTGCCATTTTGCAAGAATACATATGTTAATCATAACCTAGCCATCTTTCTAGTCTATACCCATCCCTAAACCATACAACCTGTCCCCATCCTATGTTACCGCATCCCCTGCAATAGTGTATCTTAGTATCTCATTTAATGTACAATCAATTCCACCGCCTCCTGCTTGTCGACTTAACTTCCCATTTTTTTTGATTCCATCGCCACTGTGGTTTTATACCAGGAAGATTACGGAGTGACATTCTCCGTCCACAGGAGTATGAGCAACACGACGATAGCGGCGGATGGCAGCTCCTCGAGCTCGAGCAGCATGGCGACGGCATCGACGGACCACAGCCAGCAGCAGCAGCAGCAGCATCTCCTCCTCCTCCTCCTCCTCCTCCTCCTCCTTCTCCTCTAGGAGTGCCTGGGAGAGTGCTTCCATTGCGACAGCACTCCTCCTCCTCAGGCCCAGCGTAAAACCCCAAAAGATATCCTCCATATGTGGCTTGGCTCCTTTGCCAGTGCTTTGGCCTCGTCGAGGAGGGCTTCTGTGGCCTTGTCGAAAAAGGCTAGCTACAATGAGGGCAGCAGCTGGCGAGTCAGCAAGGGCACCAGTCGTGGAGGTGCAGGTGGTGGTGGTCGAAAACACCCATGAGTATATTCTATTATATATTGCCTAAAATAGTTAGTGACAATTCTTTGCAGGGTGCAGCTTACCGTAAGCCAAATTGGGTGGTGGCGGACTGCAGGTTGAAAACTGCATCCACTTCACGTACTTTTTTGCTAAATATGCCTATTGCACCACCCGTAAGCGGCGACCGTGCCCTTGATCTGGGCAGTATCGCCGGCGCGACAGATTTTGGAGGTAATACTGTAGTTAGAGTACTACTGTAATCGCGAAGGATCACCACATAAGCTGTAGATTTTTCGCCACAGTATGGCGACGGCAATGCTGCCGTAATTCTGTGTGGACGCCGTTATGGTGGCCAGATCCGTATCCATACAGTATTCTCGGCGAAGCTGTGGCGGCAAGATCACGGTGGTCATCAAGAAACGCAGAAATCCAAACATAATACCGTATATTTCTAATCTGCCTACTCTATCCAGCCCCGATCCACAGCCTGCGACTGTTCCAAAGTCGCACAACCACCACATAATCGTCGGTGTTCGCACCGACCACCCTACAGGTGGTCAGCGAAAGTGAGTTGAAGCCCGCCAGGGGTCTTGTACATAGCCGAAGAAGAGATTTACACACAAATTATATACGTTTCTCCCTTTCATCTATACACTTGTGACAAAACTGCTTCGTCGTCGTACTTGAAATCTAATACAATGGATGATGCCCTCCAATTCCTCTGCGACAACCCTTCAGAAAAGCCTATAACCGCTGCACGAATATTCAATATAAATGCGAAGACCCTCAATACGAACCTCTGACGAGCGAAACTCAAAGCCCAGGCACCAAACCCTATTTACGGAGGCCAGAATAAGATACTTTCAGAGGCACAAATCAAGGCTGTATACAAATATGTAGAGGATTCATATTTTGCGGGCTATGGGGCGTCAAAAGCGATGGTTTTTACAGCAATTGGCCACTTGCGGGCAGCGGAAATACTGCCTAAACCAGCACCTTCATGGCGCTGGTTTCAGAGCTTTATAAAGAGCTCTTCGATCCTCTTTCGAGTTGTCAAAACGAAGCCAATTGCACAAGTCCGAGTTACAACCCATGATATTTCTGCGGTACAAGACTGGTTTGGAGTGTATTTGGCATGGTGTACTCAACACAATATCCAGCCACAGGATATTTATAACTTTGACGAGACTGGTTTTCGTGTTGGAGTAGCACCAGGGGAGGATGTAATAGTTCCTGTATCTATTACAGAAGTATGTATAATTCAGTACTTGTAACTTAATACAATTAAACTGACACTATTAAAGATGTATGTTCCAATGGCCGAAAACCGCAAATCTATTACCGTGATTGAGTCAATCTGTGCTGTTGGACAAGTGCTTCCACCAATTATCATTGTATATGGCATCTTGGTATAATGAGAAATTGACTGGCGATGAGCTTGTATTACTTTCAGACTCAGGATATACCAATAGCGAGCTCGCAATGCTATATTTGGAGCATTTTATCATTCATACAGGAGCTGGGCCTGATAAACCTCTAAAGGTCCTCCTTATGGACAGCCATATCAGTCATACAACACCAGAGTTCGTTATACGGGCAACTTCAATGAATATCCATCCATATCCGCTTCCTTCGCATCTTACGCACATTATGCAGCCACTTGATGTTGGTGTTTTTCAACCTTATAAACACTGGCACAAGAAGGCAATTCAATATGCTATGCGTAATCTTGATATTGATTATAATATAGCTTCATTCTTTCGGGATTTGAACGAAATCTGCCAGCAGACGTTCAAGAAAGGAACAATCATTAGGTCCTTTCATGAAGCTGGAATGTGGCCAATCAATTCTAAAGAAGCTCTCAAGAAAATGAAAGTTTATACGATTTGTGAGCGCGCTCTTGATCCTCCACAAATTCCACAGACTCCAACAAAATTTGTGCATTCTGAGCTCAAATTACGGCACTGGCAAAGTAAAATACCATGTCTTTTGTCTAGTCCTTCAGCACGAGAATGGGATTCTTGGGCACGTGGTACAGAAAATGTACTTGTTCAAGGAGAACTGGCTATTCTACAGTATGATTTATTATCTACAAAAGTAGCTAATCAACAGAAGGCGAAGCTCAAAAGCCGCTCTGTCGCTCAAGCAAATACTGGTCCATTAACTGCTAAGGATGCATGGAAAAAGTTTAATGACAAGGCTAGAAAAGACAAGGAAATTCAAGAGCGAAGGGCGAAATACAAAGCACAAGTAGTGCTTAATAAAGTCAAAAAGGAGCTTCATAGTCGTGGAGTTGAGGCCCGTAAAGCAGAGCTTTCAAGAAAGCGGCAAGTTAGCCAGATGTTAAAGGCGAAGGAGGAGGTGCCTTCTGATTTACTTATTTCAATTCCAGATCCAGAAAAAAATGCGCAGGAATCAGAGCTTCAAGAAGAAGCCAATACTCAATTAATTTCAATGATGGGGTACGAATCACAGGCTGACGACGACGACGAGACAGGATTTATAAGATTCAGTGGATTGGATACAGACCTATTTGCGGACAGGGAGGACGAAAATTTAGACCCAGGGTTGTTTTAAATTTGGGAATAGCTTTAATTTTATCATATGATTCAATCACTCAATTGCTGGTATAGTTGTTTAGATAGTGGTTGTATTAGATTCTACATAGTTATGATATCTGGTAGGCTTCAACTCGCTTTCAGGCTTCAACTCGCTTTCGCCGACCACCTGTAGGGTGGTTGGTGCGAACACCGATGATTAGCCCCTCCAGATGTCCACTCCCTCCCTGTGCCCGGCACTCCAGACCTTGACCCCAACCCGAATCCAATGCCAGCTCCCTTGTCCCACCCCACCCCAGTGTATGTGTTGATGGCTGGAAGTTGCGTATCCAGCCAAGTCCGCGGCCCAAGGCTGCCCTGTCAAGTGGGTGTTTGTTGGGGGGGGGTAATATCCAAGATGTTGCTGAGCAATTGTGTAGGTTTGTTGTTACGGCTAAGTGCTAGTACTATGGCTAGCGCTTACGGCTGCAACCTCACGTGATGGATAACATTGGATATCATGGATATTATGTTATCCATGTTATCCACGGATATCCCTTTGGCACGATGCCACTATATAAGTAGATAGTATTTCCTTAGATAGGAGCTTCATGCTCAACTCAATACCTTAAGCAAGAAACCTCTGTGTCTTCTATGGTTTAGAAGTCAGCGTTACAATATCGTCTAGGTAGACAATAACAAACACATCCAAGTATTCATGGAGAGCTGCATTCATGAGCCTCTGCATGGATGCTGGTGCATTTGTTAGACCAAAGGGCATAACCAAGTATTCGAACAAGCCATAGTGGGTGCGGAATGCTGTTTTCCACTCATCCCCTTTCTTGATTCGAATCAGGTTATAGGCACCTCTGAGGTCCAGCTTGGTAAATATCTTGGCTCCCTGGAACTGGTCATGTAGTTCGTTTATCAAAGGTAAAGCATATCTATCTTTGATAGTGACATTATTTGTTCCTCGATAGTCCACGCAGAGTCTTAGCTTCTTGTCCTTCTTTGGCACAAATAGTATTGGACTTCCTGCTGGTAATGTCGATGGCCGAATGAATCGTTTCGCGAGCTTCTCGATGTATTCCTTCAGTACGTCCAGCTCTGCTGCTGACATCTGATATATTGGTCCGAACGGTGGACTCTTTTCTTCCATGATAGGTATCTCATGATCCCATGGTTGGTGCTTAGGAAGTGCCTCTTCATTAGGGCCTTCCCGGAATAACTGCTCGTATTCCTTATACTCCACTGGTATTTGCTTCAGTGAGGATGCCTGGGCTAGGTCATCAGACTCGGTGGTCACACATAACTCCTTCCGGTCTTTGGAGGTTTTCTCCTTCTGCGTCGTGTCCGTTCGTTGTTCACATGTGCACTGGCTCATCACAACTTTCTCATTCCGCCAGTCGATCTGGGGGTTGTGATTCTTTAGCCACGGTACACCAAGTATGCATGCATGATTGTCCATGTGCACGATATCAAGCTGTATCATTTCCTTGTGTCCGCGTAGCATGACCATTTCTAATGGGACCGTCTCGTGGGTCACCATTCCGTTGTTGGTTGAGATGGGCTCTCCATCTACAACTATTAATGGGTATGGGTCGGTCTTCAGTTGCGTCCTGAAACCGTGTGTGTCTGCTACTTTCTTTGTCATAAAGTTGCCCGTTGCTCCCGAGTCTATCATAGCTCGGAGGTGTTGCTGTTGTATCTTAGCAACCACATATAGCTGCATGCCGCCTGTTGTGGCGCATAGCTGGTTCGTCCTAGGCCTCTTTATGTCGCTCGCCAGTGGCCTACTGCCGAGGACTCCTAGTTTTTTGAATCGTCTGAGGAATAACCATCTGAGGAAAATCCATCATGTTCACCATATTCTAATGGTCGTAGAACTGGTACCCTTTCTCTTCTTCGTTCTGCTTCACAGCATAGGCGTTCGTGTGCTTCTAACACTCATGTTCCCCTTTCTTCTCTTGGGATGCTTTCCTGCTGGTGAGGGTATTCTGGTCGGCACCTCACTGTGCAAACTGCAACCTCCCAGTATTGTGTAGTGTCCTGCCAGCTCATTGGTGGCTTGGGCACAGAAATTCTTTGATCGACCGTCTCCTGAAGCATGGATTCCTTGAAGATTCTTACTGCTCCTGGCAATTGTTCCTTGAAGAGAGTCTTACTTGCTGTCTTCTCAAATGCTTGTAACTGGTGCTTTTGAGAACTAGTGAGCTCCTTGTCGTCGTTCTTGTCTTCTCTGTTTGACAAGTGGAATTCCTCGAGATCCTGAGTAGTAATACTCCAGTTCTCTTTTCCTTTTAACGTGGCACATAGCTGTCCTTGCGGGGCCTTGTACCTGCCTTGACCTTGCCAAGTAGCGTTAAGCTGTTTGCCATACTTTCGTCCTCCATTCCCTTTCTTTGACTGTCTGCAGTTTCGCGCTATGTGTCCAGGCTTATTGCAGTTGAAACAGAGCCGTTCTTGGAACTGTCGCTCCTTGTTGGGACTATGGGGTTTGCCATTAGGCTTGAAAGTAGCGTCGAGTTCCATAGGTTGGGGGGCCAATGACTCTTTGTTTGTTTTCTTCTCTGAGTCCAGTGTTGACTAGGTGGTCCCCCTTTCTTCTCGAGTTGCCGTTCGTAGTGACGATTGTCGATCTTCTGAGCCAATTCAATCATCTCTCTAAGGTCATCTGGTTTGTCAGACCTAGAGATTTCGTCCTTCACATGGTCTTTCAGGCCTGCGTAGAATTGGTCACAGATAGCCTCTTCTCCCCAGTTGGTGAGTGTTGCATGCTGTTGAAACTCAGCGGTGTATGCAAGTGCTGACCCTCTCTGCTTGAGAGCCTGGAGTGCCCTGACTGCATTCCGTCGTTCATCAATGTCTCCGAAGTTTGCCTTGAGCGTTTTGAGGAATCCGTTCCAGGATACAAAAATTTCCTTCGTTCCTTGACTGGCATTGACGTTTTTCCTTCTGGCATTCGATGAGTCATGTAGTCAGCGAGGTAATTGGTGATCCATTCTGAGGCTGGTCCTCGCAAGAGTGCCACAGCCCATAGGATCTTGTAATGGTGGGTGCACCAGATGTGAGAATCTAGCCATCCAGGGGAAGGGATGATTTTACTAAGACAACACACTGTCTTAGGAAACAGAGCCAAAGGGTTGTAGCTGAGACTATTCCACAACGCAGCAATCAGGTGTGTGATGTAGTGAAGTGGTTCAGACAAGTTGCAACAAATGTTGAGTCTGAGAACTCAGGGATAAGTCAGAGGTTAACACCTCACTGACTTTTCAGAAACAAGGAGTAACAAGATCAATGCTTGGAAGCTTGGAAAAGACGTGGAAGTATGTGATAGTTGATTTACTGTATTGTCTGCTTGCCCTTTCTTAAGGAAAGGGCAATCCTATTTATGCTAAAGGAGTGTAGTTCTCTCATTTTCCAAGACTTTCCATGACTAACCAGGCTTGGTAACTGTAGTCGACATAAGAGAATCCCATAGAACCATCTCTTAGGTTCGTAGCCTATAGGAAGTAAAAGGAGGTCCAAGGTCAGAGTACCCCTATAGACAAATTATGTCATAGACAAATTATGTCATAGACAAATTATGTCATAACTTAACCAATCTTGTGGGTAACTAAAGAGCGATGACGTGTAATGAATCATAGAGGTTAGTAGGAGCTTTAGAGCTATCGTTCATGCTCCTAGGCCTCTAGTTGGTAGAGATATGTCATGTGGTAGTATGAGTGATGTCATGTAATGAATCATAGAGGGTTGTAGAGATATGCTATGTGGTAATATCGGCCCAGTAACTAAGGAGCGATGACGTGTAATGAATCATAGATGGTTGTAGCAATTGTTGAGTGGTATTGCTCTTGTTGTTGGTGTGATAAGCCAAAATATGTATAGTGACTTGTAGGTTTGAGGAGGAGATTTCCAAGTTTGCTCTTGAGTTTGATAGCAAACTGAGTGCAACGAATGTCAGTATGACAAGAGGGTTGTAGCAATCGTTGAGTAGTATTGCTCTTGTTGTTGGTGTGACAAGCCAAAATATGTATAGTGACTTGTAGGTTTGAGGAGGAGATTTCTAAGTTTGCTCTTGAGTTTGATAGCAAACTGAGTGTAACGAATGTCAGTATGACAGATCTGTTCCACTTCTTTGTTGAAGTGTTTGGTGTTAAACGCCATCCATAGCTCCGTCTGAATCATGAAGCTCTTGAGCTTCTTGCGATCCCCATGAAAGGTGTCTGGGAATGCAATCTTGAGTTTGTCCGAGGGGTGAGCCGTTGTCGCGCCACTATATAAGTAGATAGTATTTCATTTGAGCTTCGTGCTCAACTCAATATAGTATTCTTTACAATACTGTAACGTGTTACTTGGAAAGCCTTTGTGTCTAATCCCCTGCCTCCTCTGTCAAGTCAACCTTAGACAACAAACCTTTGTGTCTTCTATCGTTTAGAAGTCAGCGTTACACTTTGAGCACCACTTCCACGAGGTACCGGCTTACACACAAAGCAACATGGCAGACGATACTGGATCAAATGTCAGATCAAAGGGGAAGGTTGCTACTGAACCTACCAACTGTAAGGAACTGTACAGGTTCTAACAGTTCCATCCTAAGGAACTGTAGGAACTGTAGGAACTGTACAAGTTCCAACAGTCTTCACAGTTCCATCCTAAGTTCCACCCTAAGGAACTGTAGGAACTGTAGGAACTGTAGAAGTTCCAACAGTTCTCACAGTTCCATCCTGCAGGGTGACGTGGGGTCCTGTAGCGTGACCTACTCAGCTAATAGCTCTGCCGATAGCCATAACACAGACGAGACCTCTGTTGTGCTAAACCATCGACGGGGTGGCTATCGGATTTGGTGGACAGCAGATGAAGCATTTGTACGGAGTTGTATTTGCGGGAGGTGGAAAGGATACTCAGAGTTTATGTTTTGGGGATGTTTTACCTACGACAAAAAAGGGCTATGTGACTGTTGGATTCCGGAAACGAAGCAAGAGAAGAGGACGCAGAAATTGAAATTGCCATAATGAATGAAGAGTTAGAGCCAATTCTACGTGAGGAATGGGAACTTGCAAATGGAATAAAAGATGTTGGTAGTCTTGGTATGCTAAAGGCAAAATGACCTCCTGAGATGATTTCTCCAAATCTGAAGTAGCTGCTATCTCCAGGACAGGTTGGAAAGGTTTAACCCATATCAGAGATGATATATTATAGACGTCACAACTTCTCTCTAGCAGACTGGGCTGATCGCCCAGCAGCTTTTGAGCACACATTCCGGCAGGTAAGTCTTCTCTTTTTACTATTTACTTTATACTAACTTCTATATACATCTAGGTTTACAATTGCTGAGGCTGAGCGCCTTGTCCCACTGCTCTGCCTTGAGACAGTCAGCTTCCGCCGCCGCGTTCGCCCATCGCCGCTAACAGCCTTCCTTGTGGTCGCCGCCTGTCTTGCCTTCCCTGGCAGGTGGGAGACTCTCTCCTCTGTGCTGGGCAGGTCAAAGACCTGGCTTAGCACAATCTTTGTTGATGTGACGACCTTTCTGGCCGCGGAGTTTGGAGACCTGCTGCGCTGGCATTCGCAGCTTACGCCTGAGCTGTCATACTGACATTCGTTGCACTCAGTTTGCTATCAAACTCAAGAGCAAACTTAGAAATCTCCTCCTCAAACCTACAAGTCACCATACATATCTTGGCTTATCACACCAACAACAGAAGCAATACTACTCAACGATTGCTGCAAACTCTTCTACTACATCTGTTTATGCTACATACATCACGGCATATCATTTGAACACTCATTGAACAAGTTATTAAGAAAATCTCCTCCTTAAGGGGGTGGGCCAATACTACCACATGGCATATCTCTACCAACTAGAGGCCTAGGAACATGAACGATAGCTCTAGAAGCTTCTACAACCCTCTATGATTCACGTCATCGCTCCTTAGTTACCCACAAGATTGGTTAAGTTATGACATAATTTATCTATAGGTACTCTGACCTTGGACCTCCTTTTCACTTCCTATAGGCTAGGAACCCAAGAGATGGTTCTATGGGATTCTCTTACGTTCACTACATGATTAGCAAGCTAGTTGTGGGTCGCACTTGATTTCTAATACATTTACCAAGCCTGGTTAGTCATGGAAAGTCATGGAAAATGAGAGAACTACACTCCTTTGGCATAAATAGGATTGCCCTTTCCTTAAGAAAGGGCAAGCAGACAATACAGTAAATCGACTAGCACATACTTCTACGTCTTTTCCAAGCTTCCAAGCATTGATCTTGTTATTCTCTGTTTTTTGAAAAGTCAGTGAGGTGCTAACCTCTGACTTACCCCTGAGTTCTCAGACTCAACATTTGTTGCAACTTGTCTAAACCACTTCACCACATCATACACCTAATTGCTGCGTTGTGGAATAGTCTAAGCTACAACCCTTTGGCTCTGTTTCCTAAGACAGTGTGTTGTCTTAGTAAATTCATCCCTTCCTTGGGTGGCTAGATTCTCATATCTGGTGCACCCACCATTACACCTTGCCTGCTTCAAGCTTCAACTATTTCTATAGCAGCACTTCGATACTACAATGGAGGACAACCAAGCTCCTACAACTACTGCTGAACAGCAGATGCAACAACTGTTTGCCTTTATACAAACTATAGCAAACAAACTTGAGAATTTGGAAAACACCTTTCAAGCCAACACTTCAGCAACACAATCTTCAACTCAGACACATCATACAGAGCTTCCCACAGCTCCTCTGGCTATTTCGAGTACCCCAGGTGCACTTCCTAAAGTGCAAACACCAGATTTATACCATGGAGACAGGAGGAAGTTGAAGGGATTCCTTATGCAACTGGACATCTACTTCACCCTCAGGCCTCATCAGTTCACCTCAGACATTCAGAAGATCTATTTTGCTGCCAGCTACCTCCGTGGATCTGCATTCAACTTCTTTGAGCCATATCTTAGAAGACTTAGTGGCAACAACCAAAATACCACTACACCTTTGATTACCTCTTATGACCAGTTTCAAGAGGAACTTACCAGGACCTTTGGAGACATCAACGAAACTGCTACAGCAGAAAGAGAGCTACAGAAGCTATGTCAAAAGACCTCTGCTGCTCAGTATACAACAGAATTTAGGAGAATCACTTCTCACTTGACTTGGAATGAAGAAGCCTTAGTCTTCACTTACTACCAAGGGCTCAAGAGCTCTATTAAGGATGAACTCAGCAAAGAAGAACGCCCTACAACACTTCAAACGCTTATAGAGAAAGCTGTCAGACTTGATGATAGGCTTTTTGAAAGAAGAAAGGAGAAGAACCAAGACTGGCATCCAACAAGAAATTTCAACAATTACACCTCTACACCAACTGCTAAGGACTCAGCACCTGAACCTATGGACTTAGACGCCTCTATAAAGAGATCTATAGCAAGTCCAGCACCTCAGCCTACAGGATACCCTCAAAAACTAAAAAGGGGTAAACTTACCCATCAAGAAAGAAAACACAGAATGGACAACAACCTTTGTTTATACTGTGGCAAAGGGGGACACAGAATTCAGGAGTGCTATTCAGCACGGGGGAGTGCTGATTCAAAACATATAGCAGCCTCAGACACAGTCACAACTGCTATTCCTGAAAAACTTGAAAAATCCCTAGCAGGCACAACTTCAACTGAGACTATAACTTCTCCCCTAGACAACAAAGATGTGTCGATGGTGCTTTCTCAGAGTCTCACACACCTGTTAATCCCTATTCAACTCCATTTCAAACAACAGGTGTTGTCTACAAGGGCTATGATAGACTCAGGGGCAACAGGCAACTTTATATCTCAAGACCTCATCTTGACACACCAGTTACCTACAATTCCCAAACGCACTCCAGAGTTGCTCCGAGTCATTGATGGAACTCCTATCAGTTCAGGTTCCATTACCTGCAACACCCCAGTACTCAAACTTGAGATTCCCCTAGGAAAATCAACATTTTCAGACACCATCTCTTTAGATGTTATACCAATGAAGTACCCAGTTATCCTAGGTCTTCCATGGCTTCAAAGGCATGATCCAACTATCAATTGGAAGCATTTATCGCTTGGGTTTAGCTCAAATCCTGAGCTCAATACTGAAAAACCCTTCAAGCCTCAGTTACCCCTATTCAGGTCCAAGACTCAAACTTGTCCCAGATCAAGGATTTTGACCAAACTATGGACGATATATCATCTCTGATATGGGTTAAACCTTTCCAACCTGTCCTGGAGATAGCAGCTACTTCAGATTTGGAGAAATCATCTCAGGAGGTCATTTTGCCTTTAGCATACCAAGACTACCAACATCTTTTTGACAAGGCAAAGGCATCAATTCTGCCAAAGCACCAGCCTTATGACCATGAGATACCACTCGCAGAAGGCTCAATGCCTCCCTACGGCCCTATCTACTCTCTATCTGAATTAGAGCTGAAAACTCTCAGAGAATACCTAGATGAGAACCTTAGTTCTGGCTTTATCAGACCTTCTTCCTCACCAGCAGGAGCTCCCATTCTCTTTGTCAAGAAGAAAGATGGCTCCTTGCGTCTCTGTGTTGATTATAGGGGCCTTAATGCAGTCACTGTTAAAAACAGATATGCTTTACCCCTTATCCCTGAGCTCATAGATAGGCTCTCTTCAGCAAGGATCTTTACCAAGTTAGATCTCAGGGGAGCTTATAACCTGATACGCATCAAGGAAGGTGATGAGTGGAAGACAGCATTCAGAACACGCTATGGTCATTTTGAATACCAGGTAATGCCTTTTGGGCTTGCCAATGCACCTGCTTCTTTCCAAGCTCTCATGAATGATATTCTAAGACCTTACTTGGATATCTTTGTTGTTGTCTACTTAGACAACATTCTTATATACTCTTTAGACACTCAAGAGCATGTTCTACATGTTAGACAAGTCTTAGAGAAGCTATCTCAAGCACAACTCTTTTGCAAACTTGAGAAATGTCTTTTCCATATGTCTCAAGTTGATTTCTTGGGACATAGAATTTCAACAGAAGGCATTCAGATGGACCCTGAAAAGACAAAAGCAGTACAAACGTGGCCTATTCCTTCCAGCATTAAAGAGGTTCAGTCTTTCCTTGGGTTTGCCAACTATTACAGGAGGTTTATACCAAGATATACATCCTTGGCTTTACCCCTTACTCAATTACTCCACAAGGACACTTTGTATCACTGGGATAAGACACAGCAAGATGCTTTCAATGCTCTTAAAGGAGAATTTAAAGAAGGGAAAATGTTACTACACTTTAACCCCTTGAAACCTACCACTCTTGAGACAGATGCCTCAGATTTTGCTATTTCTGGAATCTTATACCAAGCTCCAAAAGACAAACAAGAAGAGCTACAGCCTGTGGCATTTTACTCAAGAAAGCTATCAGCAGCTGAACAAAACTATCCCATTACAGACAAGGAACTGCTTGCCATAGTATGTTCTCTAAAGCATTGGAGATGCTACCTTGAAGGGGCAAACTATCCTATCACTATTTACAGTGACCATTCAAATCTCTTGACCTTTACAACCACTAAACAGCTCAATCGACGACAAGCAAGGTGGTCTGAACAACTAGGAGGTTTTGACTTTGTTATAAAACATGTCTCAGGGGCCAAGAATCAAAGAGCAGATCTCCTCTCAAGAAGACATGACTACCAAGATTCTGCTAAAACTAGCAATACAAAGGCTCTGCTAGACTCAGCAAAGCTTATAGCAGCATCTTTAAGCAACCCTAGTACTACAGAGGACTTAGGGGTAAACTTATCCCCTCAAGACCAAGTTGCCCCCATTACCTCTTCTCAGGAACCAGAGACCTTTAAAGTCTATACACCCTCAGCAACACTTCTTAAAGCATTCAAAGATGCTTACAACCATGATCCCTTTGCGAAAAGAACTTTGGAATACCTCCAGAAGAAAGGTTCCTCTCTTGAGAAAGTTGGACTACAGAATTTCTCAAAAAATCAGCATGGACTTCTCTTATTCAAGAACTATATCTATGTCCCAAGGGATAAACGATTACAGCTACACCTCCTACAGCAGTTCCATGATGCTCCAGCTGCAGGGCACTGTGGCTTTGCAAAAACTTATGAACTTCTAACAAGAAAGTTCTACTGGCCTAGTCTAAGGACTACTCTTCAAGACTATATATCTTCTTGCACTACTTGCAACTTGAACAAACCTACACGGCAAAAGCCCTATGGCCTCTTGCAGCCTCTACCTATACCAGAACGCCCATGGGACTCCATATCCATTGACTTTATAGTCAAGTTGCCTCCTTCTATCCCAAAAGGGGGTGCTACCCCTTATGACTCTATCCTTGTGGTGGTAGAAAGGCTCACAAAAATGGCACACTTTGAGCCTTGCAATGAGACTATCACAGCTTCTGAACTTGCGTGGCTATTCCTCAAGGTGGTCTTTAAATATCATGGAATTCCTGGACACTGGATCTCAGATAGGGGAGCAGTTTTCACTTCAAACTTTTTTAAGGAGTTCTCTAAACTCTTAAACATGGAACAACGCTTCTCTACAGCTTATCACCTTCAAACAGATGGCCAGACAGAGAGAGTCAACTCTGTACTTGAACAATATCTAAGAATTTATACAAACTATGCTCAAGACAACTGGGCAGATCTTCTCCATCTTGCAGAATTTGCTTACAACAACACAGTCTCTAACACCACAAAAGAGACACCTTTCTATGCAAACTCTGGTTATCACCCTAGGTTTGAAGTGGCAGAACTGAATTGTCCTGAAAATTTCAAAAACCCTTCTGCTACTGAAAGAATCATCTACCTTAAGGGCCTCCAGGACTATCTCAAGGTTCAAATACAGCGTGCACAAGACGAGCAGGCTCAGGCCTTTAACAGGGGGGTGGTTGCACCACAATTCAAAGTTGGTGATCAAGACTTTTTGTCTAGAAGACATATCACAACTACTAGACCTTCAGACAAACTTGATACTAAAAGACTTGGACCTTTTAAGATCACAAGGACGATTGGCAAGAATGCTTTCGAGCTTGCATTACCACCTACTTGGACTATCCATAATGTCTTCCATGCATCTCTCTTGTCTAAGGCACAAGAAAGTTCCTTAAGACCACTTCAGTCTCCTCCACCTCCTGTTCTGATCTTGGATCAACCAGAATATGAAGTAGAGTCTATCCTTGACAAAAAGACACTTAGAGGTCAGGACTACTTCCTCGTTAAGTGGAAAGGCTATCCTACAAGTGACAACACTTGGGAGCCTAAGAGAAATCTAAAAAATGCATCTAAGCTCATTCTAGAATTTCTTTCTAAGAAAGCCACCTGGCTAAAGGGCAAGCAGACAGCCAACAAACGTCCTTAAAAGGGGGATCATGTCATACTGACATTTGTTGCACTCAGTTTGCTATCAAACTCAAGAGCAAACTTAGAAATCTCCTCCTCAAACCTACAAGTCACCATACATATCTTGGCTTATCACACCAACAACAGAAGCAATACTACTCAATGATTGCTGCAAACTCTTCTACTACATCTGTTTATGCTACATACATCACAGCATATTATTTGGACACTCATTGAACAAGTTATTAAGAATATCTCCTCCTTAAGGGGGTGGGCCAATACTACCACATGGCATATCTCTACCAACTAGAGGCCTAGGAACATGAACGATAGCTCTAGAAGCTTCTACAACCCTCTATGATTCATTACACGTCATCGCTCCTTAGTTACCCACAAGATTGGTTAAGTTATGACATAATTTGTCTATAGGTACTCTGACCTTGGACCTCCTTTTCACTTCCTATAGGCTAGGAACCCAAGAGATGGTTCTATGGGATTCTCTTACGTTCACTACATGATTAGCAAGCTAGTTGTGGGTCGCACTTGATTTCTAATACATTTACCAAGCCTGGTTAGTCATGGAAAGTCATGGAAAATGAGAGAACTACACTCCTTTGGCATAAATAGGATTGCCCTTTCCTTAAGAAAGGGCAAGCAGGCAATACAGTAAATCGACTATCACATACTTCCCCGTCTTTTACAAGCTTCCAAGCATTCATCTTGTTACTCCTTCTTTCTGAAAAGTCAGTGAGGTGTTAACCTCTGACTTACCCCTGAGTTCTCAGACTCAACATTTGTTGCAACTTGTCTGAACAACTTCACTACATCACACACCTGATTGCTGCGTTGTGGAATAGTCTAAGCTACAACCCTTTGGCTCTGTTTCCTAAGACAGTGTGTTGTCTTAGTAAAATCATCCCTTCCTTGGGTGGCTAGATTCTCACATCTGGTGCACCCACCATTACACGGATGCTGAGAAGGTCATCGCCTCCGTGGAGGAAAAGCTTCCTGCCCGACCTGAACCCGAGACCCCCGTGCGCATGAAGACTCCCCGTGCTCCTTCTGTCGCTGGATCGTCCCGCTTTGAGACTCCTGTGCGACACAACTTCCTTCGTGTGGGCACACCCACGCAACAGGCCCGCGCCACCTCTGTGGTGCCTGTGATCGCTGCACCGGTCCACAGCCCCTTCCGTCGCCACGCGAAGGCCTCACTGCCGATGTGTTTACACTGCTCTAAGCGCGTATATACCTCTCGTCTGGGCTTGAATTGTACTCGCCCTAATGTTATGACACGCTGCTCTTATTGCTCGGAGGGCCATGCTCATTGTCTGTCAGTAAGACCCGCAACACCTTCGCTGACCCTTTGCGACGACTCTTTCTGACTCTGTTTCTAGGTCCCCAAATTCGCCATTCGTCGCCTGAACCGCCTACTCGAGGCCCACGCGAAGTTTACGGCCGCTCACGACCTCGTCGACGAAGAGGGCCAGTGCAACATGAAGCTCGTTGACGCCGGCTCTGTGGTTGAGGAGGAGGCGGAGGTGGAGAGTGGTGGGGATGGGGACGATGGCGCAGGTGAGGGTGGCGCCGCCGCCTAATACCTGTGGTTGCCGCGCGTGTGTAACGCTGACTTCTAAACGATAGAAGACACAGAGGTTCTCTTGCGTAAAGGTTTACTTATCAGAGGAGGCAGGGGATCAGACACAAAGGCTTCAAGTAACACGTTACTAGTATATAACAAATACTGTATTGAGTTGAGCACGAAGCTCCTATCTAAGGAAATACTATCTACTTATATAGTGGCATCGTGCCTAGTGGACTCTTGGGAACTCACTCGAGTCCTCGGAGTCCTGGACTCTTAGGACTCTTCTCATCATCCTGCGAGTCCATCACGTGCCTAGTGGACTCCTGGGAACTCACTCGAGTCCTCGGAGTCCTGGACTCTTAGGACTCTTCTCATCATCCTGCGAGTCCGTCACGTGATACTTTCGGAACTACTATTCCCCGCTTCCCCTCCAGGTACCAGGGCCGGTCTCATGCGACCTCCCTCCTTCCTGTCCTGTAGTTGGCCAGCCTTCTTGTTCCGTCGTAACACTCGCTCCCTTCCCCTGGGCATTCGTCTCGAATCCTATAAGTACGTCCATGCCCCCGGGACTCTGCTGCTCCTCAGCGAGTCCTTCAACATGCAACATGCCTACTGACACTGCCCGCAAACTCCAGGAACGCAACGATCTTGTCCGTCGAATAAAGAACCACGGATACGAACTACCCGAAATGGATTCTTGCTCGAACTGCGTGAGGCGAAACATTACTTGCGTGTCGTCTCCAAATGATTCACGGCGGTGCGCCGAGTGCGTTCGTCGCAACTTGAAAGAAAAGTGTGACTGTATGGGTCCTGAGCATCCCGACTGGGTGAAGCTCGAACGGGAGGAGGATCGCCTGGATCGCGAAGAGGAAGAAACCCTTTCGAAGTTACTTCGTCTGCGGAAGCAGAAACGCCTCATCCGGACCCGTGGTAAAGATATGCTCCGGCGAGGTTTGAAAACCCTCGACGAGCTTGATGCGGCAGAGGAGGCCGAACGTGTGGCTGCTGAGAAGCGTGACGCTGTTGAGGCTGAGGAGCAGGCAGTTAGCGCTGCCTCCTCGTCTGTGACCGGGACCCTCGCTTCCTCCGATCCACTGGCCTACTCCCCTGCATCTTGGGATCAATGGCTGACGGATGGCGGCGTCGATATTCCTCCAGCAGTTCTTTGCTGATGTTCCTTGTTGGTTCCCACGAATTATCCGTAGGTTCGTAATTTTCCCATTTTATCAAAAACTCTTCTCGACGTCCTACTAACCTTCTGTCTAGGATCGCTTCGACCTCATATTCGATTATCTCATTCTCGGGTTGGAGTTCGGTGTCGGTCGCAATTGGGGTATTTCCTCTTGCTGGTTCCAGTAGTGAGACATGAAATACCGGGTGTAGTCTAGACTTCCTGGGTAGCTGCAGTCTGTAATTAACTGAGCTGACTTTGTTCAATATTTTGAATGGTCCCAATTTCTTGAAGTCCAACTTTGTGCTTGGTCGTTTCGTTTTGATATGTTTCCGGAGTAGGTATACTTTATCCCCCTCCTTGAAGGCAGGTTCCATACTGCGCTTCTTGTTTGCGTATGCGGCGGATCGTTCATTTAAGAATTGGATGTCCGTCGCAAGTTGTTCGTGGAACGATTTCAGTTGTTCCACCACGATCAGGGCTTGTTCAGCTCGTGATTCATCTGGTCTTGGTTGCCTATATGCTTCTGGCTGGTAGCCGTAATTGGCAAAGAACGGTGAGACTTTCGTTGCTTCTGTCATCGCGCTGTTATATGCAAACTGTGCGATGGGTAAGATCTGAACCCAGTTATCCTGTTGATGATTGACATAGCTTCGCAGGTACTGTTCAAGGGTCTGATTTAATCTTTCTGTTTGGCCGTCTGTCTGGGGATGAAAAGCTGTTGATAGCTTATGGTTTGTTCCCAGTAGCGCCATCAATGATTTCCAGAATTTCGAAGTAAAGAGCTTGTCTCTATCTGAGATGATTTCTTCTGGCATCCCATGATCGGCTAATATGACTCGAATGAAGGTATATGCGAGCGCCTCGGCGTCGCTAGCTTCTAGATATGGTATAAACTTCCCATATTTCGTGAGTCTTTCCGTGATGACGAGGATAGAGTCGTATTCTATTCCTGTTAACGGGTCCTTGGAGGGTGGAAGCTTGACGATGAAGTCCAAAGCTATTGATTTCCACGCTCCTTTTGGTACTGGTGTCGATTTGAGTTGTCCGTATGGCAGATGCCTATTGGATTTTGACTTGCTGCAAATGTCGCACTCTCTTACCACTGTCTCTACCTGCTTCCTCATACCTGGGAAGTAGTAGTGTCGGGTGATTCGTTCGAAGGTTCGCGTTACTCCCTGATGACCGTGTGCTGGTAACGAGTGTTGTTCTTGCACCAGCGGGCGTCTCATTTGACTTGGGACATACACTAACCCTTTGTATCGAATCAATCCTTGTTCGTCGATGGTGAAGTCGCCTTCGACTTTGGACAAGACTCGCTTGGCGCATTCGTCTGTTGCGTAAGCTTTCTTGAGTCTTTCCTCGAGTTCTGTATCTTCGATGACTGAGATCGTCGCTAGTAACTCGTTGTACTGTATTCCTGCATCTGTTTTCTTCAGAATTGCTCTAGGTCTTTCTTCCTTTGGGCCGGCGTAGTCGGTCCGTCTGCTGAGAGCATCTGCTCTTGCATTCTCGGAGCCCTTGCGATAGGTTATCGTGAAGTTGTAGGCTGCGAGGGTTTCTGCCCAGCGGACTTGTCTGCGGTTTAAAACCTTGGTCGTGGTGAAATATATGAGGTTCTTGTGATCCGTCCATACCTGCACAGGGTAGGTGGATCCCTCAAGATATACTCGCCACTGCTCAAAGGCAACGACAATAGCCAGTAGCTCCTTGTCGTGGATGTCGTAATTGAGTTCCGCGGGTGACAGTTTCCTAGAGTAGTACGCGATTGGTTTGAACTTACCGTTCTCGTCTGGTTGATTCAGACATGCTCCAATTGCGAAGTCAGAAGAGTCCGTTTCGAGGATGATCTTCTTTGCAGGGTCAAATGTAGCAAGGATAGGTGCTTCCGTGAACTTCGTCTTAAGTTCCTGGAAAGCAGCCTCTGCCTTGTCCGTCCATTTGAATTCGAGATCCTTTCTGGTAAGCTCTGTGAGTGGTTGAGCTACCTTGGAATATCCTGAGATGAATCTTCGATAGAAGTTGGCGAAGCCTAGGAAGGCTTGCACTTCCTTGACCGTGGTCGGTGTTGGCCATTCCAACACTGCCGTTACTTTTGCTTGGTCCATCTTGATGCCGTGCGTTCCAATAATGTAACCCAAGAATTCGACTTGGTTTTTATGGAACTCGCACTTCTCTGGTTTGAGGAGTAAGCTGTACTCCTTTAGTTTCTTCAGGACGAGTTTGACATGCTTGACATGCTCCTCCTTGGTTGCTGAATACACCAGGACGTCGTCTAGGTAGACGATGGTAAAGATGTCTAAGTATTCGTGCAAAGCATCATTCATCAGTCGTTGCATAGATGCGGGTGCGTTTGTTAGCCCAAAGGGCATGACTTGATACTCGAATAGGCCATAGCGGGTGCGGAATGCTGTTTTCCACTCTTCCCCAGCCTTGATTCGGATCAGGTTGTATGCTCCTCGCAGATCTAGCTTACTGAAGATCTTTGCTCCTTGAAATCTATCGTGTAGTTCGTTGATTAACGGCAGGGCATACCTGTCCTTGATTGTGATGTTGTTCAACGCTCGATAGTCCACACATAACCGTAGGGAGCCGTCTTTCTTTGGTACGAAAAGCACCGGACTTCCTGCGGGTGATGTGGATGGTTTGATGAATCCTTTTGCTAGGTTATCATCAATGTACTCCTTAAGTACCTTCAGCTCCTTTTCCGATAGCTGATATATTGGTCCGAACGGTGGACTCTTGTCTTTCTCCAAAGGTATCTCGTGATCCCATGGTTGGTGCTTAGGAAGCGCCTCGTTCTTAGGGCCTTCCTGGAATAATCGCTCGTATTCCTTGTACTCCACCGGTATACTCGTCGGTGAGGATGCCTGGGCTAGGTCATCGAGCTCGGAGGTTGCACATAACTCCTTCCGGCCCTGGGAGGGTTTCTCCCGTTGTCGCGTGTCCGTCCGTTGTTCACACGCGCACTGGCTCATCACAACTTTCTCGTTCCACCAGTCAATCTGGGGGTTGTGTTTCTTGAGCCATGGCACACCAAGGATGCACGCATGGTTGTCCATGTGCACGATGTCAAACTGAATCGTTTCCTTGTGCCCGTGTAGCATGACCATTTCCAATGGGACCGTTTCGTGGGTCACCATTCCTTCATTAGTCGAGATGGGCTCTCCATCTACGACCATTAACGGGTATGGTTCGGTTTTCAATTGCGTCTTGAAACCTTGCGTGTCTGCTACTTTCTTTGTCATAAAGTTGCCCGTTGCTCCTGAGTCAATCATTGCTCGGAGGTGTCGCTGTTGTATCTTAGCGACCACATATAGTTGCATGCTGCCCGTCGTGGCGCATAGCTGGTCTGTACTAGGCCTCTTCGTGTCGCTCGCCGGTGGCCTACCGTCGAGGACTCCTAGTTTTTTGACTCGTCCGAGGAAGGATAGTATTCATCCGCTTCCAATGGTGGTCCTTGGGGAGATCGTTTCCCTCGCTCTTCTGCTTCATCTAGCAGATGTGGGTATTTCTCGTATACCTGTTCGCTTTTGATAGGCAAGTCCCCTTCAGACTGGCTTCGCCTGAGGGCGTGAACTTGCTCTGCGTCTCTGAAGTGTATCCTGGGTGAGGATCGGGGAAACAACTGATTCTGGTGTTTCTTTTTCCAGTGGAGCTTGCAATCATCTTCGCTGCAATACTCCCAGTAGACATATGCGTGCCAGGGATGATCAGTCTCTGTTGCGTCTGTCGTTGATAGTTCCCGCTGTCCTCTCACCCATGCACTATCTTCCCTCGGAGGCGTGGAGAACGTGTCTAGTTGCTCCATGGCTCTCCTTTCGATGCGTGGAGTGGGTCTC